AGCGGGGCCGTCCCGCCCGCTGCCGCCGCTCTGCCGCCCGCGCTCCGCCGCTCCGGGCAAGCCGAGCGCCGCCGAGGGGGCGTGTCGGGCTCCCGGCGCCCCCACCCCGCCGGCACGGCCCGGCCCGGCCCCGCGGGCGCACGGGGCAGCGGCGGCACGGACCGCCCAGGGAGGGGAGGCGGCGGCGGCGCGGCCCCAGTGGTTCTGGAGGAGCTGCCGGGTGCGAGCGGCACATCCCCGCAGACACCCACCCACCCTCCAACGGCGGCTGCTTATAGCAGGACACGCGGATTTCACGGGCGTGAATTCCGTCAGCCCTGCTAGAGGGTACCGCAGATTGCAGCCGAGTGTTAAACAACGGGTTAAAATCAGTGAGGACCGGCATAACTTCTTTCCCTGCCGCTTAAAACTCTCAGGTTAGGTTTCTAAGAAGAGTAAACACTGGCAGTTTCTCTTATTAAAAGGATAAACCCCTGTTAGGTTGAATCAACCTAACACTAACCTAACACTAACCTAATACACTACCTAAGCACGGAAATGGAATTTTTTCCAAGGGAAAAAAAATCAAACCAAACCCGTCCTCCACCAAAACCAGCCAACGCAGGCAGAAAACACACATTTATCGTTGGTTTGTGAGGCGATCAGATCGATCAGTGTGGTGGCACAGCTCAGGGCTGCTTTCTGTGACACACGTATACAGGAAAGCCTTTCCGACGCGGGTGCAAGAAGCAGGACAGGTGCCTGCCGCGGCTCTGTCACAGGTTTTAGACACGTGTCTGCACCGGGCTCTGCTGTGCAGAAAGTCAGTCAGGTTAGCTTAGGGCAAAAGCAGATGCAGTTTGTCTGCTTCTAATTTAGGCAATATGCAGTTAACTCTTCTCACTGAGCAGCCTGAAACACCAGCCAAATGGGTGGATTCACTTTCTTATTTATGTTTATGCTACTGGGTAAGAAATTAAAATAATGGTCTGCCTCTCCACCTAGTCTGCTTCATTTTCTGCCCTACTGTTTTCAATGGCATAACTAGCCACTAGACCCTCCCCAGAGAGGGAGCCAGTGATGCATGGCACAATTGGGGTTGGAGGATACTGCTGCCCTGTTCCTAGTGACACAGCCCTGCTGAGAGCCTGCAGCTTCTGGCAGTCATCCACTGGCACACAGTGGGTGAGATTGCACAGGGTGTGCCCTGGCTGTGATCAAGCAGTGGGACCTCTCAGTCCTGCAGTGCTGTGCTGCCCTCGGACACATCTGCTCCATCTTCCCCCCTCCATGCACAGCAGTGCCAATCTCCTGACTCACTCATAACATGCTCTGTGTACACTGCTCGGGTCATGGTTGCAAGTCACCCGTGCAAAGGAACCTTTGTGAAACATCCCTAAGAAATTCAACTTCAATGTCATGGCCAGTGGGATGGAGATTTTCAGAGATTACAGCAAGTCAGCTGTCATGACTGGTGATTCCCCAAGGCTATCTTAATAAAAATAATGTATATAAATGATCACTTTAAAATAACTTCCTTCCCAAAAGCCTGCAGAAAGTTACCCTTTCACTTCTTGTTGGTTCAATACCACTGGAGCAGCCAATGAGACAGTAAGATGAAGCACAGTTGTTTGGTAAGAGAGCAGGAGAAATGAATTCTGAACTCAGGTCATTTCCAGATGGCAGAGTTTGGGGAGGGAAGGCAAAACAAACGGTCTGCCTACATGTAAAATAATCAAGTGGAAAATCTCAGGCCTCCTGTGCTTACCCATGCACAGACAGGTTAGAAGCTGATCCCAGAACAGCTCTTTCAGTAGCTGAATTTCCTTTGTTGCTTTTTAACCTTAATAGCTCTTTAATTACTGTTCTTATTTTCAAATCAAGTATACATCTGTGTCATATTAATGAATATTCATTGTCACTGGAGAGGTATTAAATGCATTTTTACCTGTGTTTCCAAGGGAATAGATGCCAGCTGTGTGTACTATTATCTAATTTCAGCCTGTCCTCAGCACTGTAATACTATCAAGACCTATTAGAGAAGACTCACAGATACATAAAAGTAACAATGAATGATTATTTACTTGCTTTACAGTTGCAGTTAGGGATTCCTCCCAAGATCATAGCTCTGTTGTGAAAGGCTTTTTGCAGACTATGGCACAAGAAGTGACCTTGCTTGACATAGCTGACACCTGAAATGGGAAACACAGGAAAGTGCTGCAGTAAGAATGTAGCAGTGGAGTATGTGGTCATTTGAGTGTCTTATAGATCCTTGGGGGGTTCTGCCTGACCTTTTTGCCTTTGATAGCATGTGAGCATTGTGTGGAGCAGATGGGTACGTGTTACAGATACCTACTTTGTGATTGTATGGTCTCAGCAGCAGAGGCTGAGGGAAGGCCCCCGGTTGCAGCTCTCATCATACAACCCCTCCAAGTGCAAATCCACATATGGTTAACCTGTGTGCGTGCACTAGGCCCACCAGTACCTTACACTTTCTCATCTACATTCATTCCTTTATAGGCTATAGATGGAGCAGAAGGCTGCCCACTGTTCAGAATATATCAGGCTGTGCTATAATTTCAATAAGTGTGGTTGAATCCCATGCTTCTTAGCTTCTTCTGGTTTCTTGCAAGGGTTGGAATGAGATTCCTCTCATGAAAAGTTATCCTGGCACTAATGCGAGCTGGGCTCCTTTCTCAAAATGTATGAGTCTGTACATGAAGTGTAGATGAAAAATTGGGAGTCTCCTGTGCTCCAGACTAACTGGGGTGAGAAAGCATCCCATTTTCCCATGCCAGCACTGAAAGTGTTTGCCTGCTGAAAGACAGACACCTCTGGGTGCAATTTCCCTAGCTGGTTCCCTCCTATCCCAAGAGATCTAGGCAGCAGCATTTCCCTATTCATGTCTATAACACTGACCTAGAAGGGATAAGATCAAGCTCTTGGGTTAGCATAAAAAAACTGGGGAGAAATCCTGGGGGGAAAGTTTTCACTCTGAGCACATACATGAAAGTCCTGGGCATCAGTCCAGAAGAGGGAGGCCAGGAGTTTATAGGTCTGGGAGAGGGATCAAAGAAACCTGCAGCAGCCACTTCAGAACAGGAGGAAGACTTAGACAGCTCTAATAAAGACTCTTAGGAATACATGTCATCACTGGTGCCCTTGCCTTTGAGGGCAGCAGTTACCTTGACTCCTGCCAGCTGAGCTTCTGGCTGTCTCTAGACAGTTCCTGTCCAGCTGCAAGTGTGCACATCTGGGGCAGGGTGAAAGCCAAAGGAGCTGCTGGAGGGCAGGCACTTACGTGCAGAGTGCAGGGGCAGGAACCATCCTGAGCAGCCTGGCTTTGCACTTCCATGTCAGTTGAGAAACCTTCTTGCATCCAACCTCCAGGCACACAACTCTGGCTTGTGTGTGGCCGTGCCTGGGTGGCACCCAGGAAAAAATCACCCCACCAGCCATTTCCATATTTCTCTTTATATTGCCCAAGAGTCAGGAAAAGGATAAGAAGAAAGTCAGATGCAGGTACTTCCTACAAACAAGTGAACTAGGGAGATAGACCTTGCTCTGCTTTTTTGCCTTACTGGACAGGAACCCTAGCCAAGGGCTTGGTGCAATAACGATTGCCCTAGAACTAAAATAATATGTTTCTCTTCCCCAGCAGGAAGAAAAACTGTCCTTTTCCTGGTATCCAAGACAGCTGCAGCTCCCAGGTGTTTTTACAGCCCATGACAGGCACAGCTGTGTCTCCCATGGCACTTCTGGTCTGAGGTTTCTCACCAGGGTTTAGCAAAGCTGATGCCAGCACCCAGTTGGCATATAGCTTACTAGGGAAGCAGCTTTCCTGAACCTGCTCTGGTTTTGGTTTTTCTTTTGTTTTTTTTTTTTTTTTCTTTGTCAGACAAGGGTTCATCTCCTGGCTAGAGGTGCAGGATGAAACCATGAGAACACTGCAGGGCATTTGTGTGGCTCCACAGGCCATCATGTTCTCCAGTGGTACCAGGGTAGCCTGACTTCAGAGGGGAGCTGTGAAGGCTGGAGCGCTGCTGCTGTTGGGTGCATTGGCAATGAGTGCTTGCCATCTACTGGGAGGAAATCAGCCTGACAGGAGACACTCTTGGATGCAGGAAAAAGAGAAAGGCCTGGGACCCGAAGAGCTGGATGGGCATTTGGGCTTACAGAGAGAGAAGGAATAGTATCCTCTGAGGAGGGTAAACAGAAAGCAGTCAGGAAGCTCTGTTCTTGGGCACATGAAGGCTGACAAAACTCACTGCAGGACTTTAACATGCTAACAACCCCCTTGAGCCCTACTTGGAGGTGCCTGACCTCATTGAAGAGGTGGCAGAAGGCAGTTAGGTGTTTGTGTAATTAATGAATCTCAACTCATTCACTGGTAGCACTGAGCAGAGCCCTGGTGTGGTGGCATCTCACATTTCCACAGTACAATTTGCCAGTGTCTGTCAAGCTGTCGGTGTGCTGTTCACAGCATATGCCACTCTTGTCACAGCTTTCCTCCCCACTCCCCATAGCACTGAGATATTGCCCTGCCTTTGACATATTCTCAGCATCCAGCCTGACTGGCACAGAACAGCCCACTCCCTATTGCATCAGCTCCTGGGAACACATGTCCAGTGAAGAGTCCTCAGCCTTCCCAATGAGATTTTATTATTGTCTAGGAGGATATAATCAGAGTTCCAGCACAAGGTCTTGAAGAGCTGGTCAACTGATAGATGGACTAAACCTCCCCTTGCAATACAGGTACTGGTACCCCAAGTGCAAACCATATTAGTACTGTAAGGTGATGACTGTGTTATCACTGTGAGGTGTTGATTGTGTTATCAAAAGCAGCATCAACCTTCTGTGCCTGCTATCCCACTGCTACACTGAATGAGATGGTGCACAACAGGAGCAAAGTCAGGGAAAGCTCTGGGATGTTACTCCCTGCTATGGAAACCACCACAGGAACCTAACAGTGTACAGACTGTGTTCTTGCTCTTTTAATTCAGAAAGATAAGAAACAAAAGTGACAGCATCAAATGCCTTTAATTCTCTGTATTTCATGATAGAGACCCAAACCCCTATTTAGGTATCCACATATTTCTGGAAGGCAGCATTTTCAAATAATAGTTTTTCCCCTTAGTAAAGACTGGCTGCAAGCCTAGACACAGTGAGCTATTCAGGCACATCTGCAGAAGAGAGGGATGCAGGACCTTCCTTCTCTTGCCTCTGGCTCAAATTGCAGACACATTTCTTCAGCGGCAATACCATTTCAAGCAGCATTTAGTTCAGGCACTTATTTCCAGCCCTCCTGTACCTAACTAGACCATCTGGTCTAAGTGTTACTGTAACTTTGTGGTAAACAAGATGGGGAAAATTATCCAGGTCAAAATAAATACAGCAAGACTTTCACCACAAAGAGGAGTATCTCAGAAGAATGAACACAGGCTGTGTGGAGGGGTAGGAGGAAGCAGGAGAGTCCCTTTTTACAGTGTGGACTGGGAATCTATGCTTTGCATAATATCAAAAGAAAAGCAGAGGAGACTGAATAAAAAAGAGACAGTAGCAACAGGACAAAGTGGTGGCCTCGGATTCTGATTTTTCGCATTTTTTCCAGATTGTTCCCATCAATTGTTATTCACATTTGGAGCAGGGATAATCTCTTAGAGAAATTGCTCTATCTCCAAACATCTCTTTCTAAATTCAGCCCAAATCTGTGTTCTACTTTCTTCTGATTTCATTGTGTACATAAGAAACTCCCCAAACAAGGGCTTACTTAGACCATGTTGTGTTGTATATAAGCTTAGTGGAAAACATGAGCTGGGATTGGAGTGTAGGTTTGTGTGGCACTCCAGAGATACTCCAGTGAAAGGATGTTCTTTTCCAAGTCTGGTCAGAATCAAAGAGCCCCTCAGGAAAAGAACAAACTTGGCAATTCCAGGTACACTTCCAGATTGAAGATGCTCAATAGAGTGACTCCTGTAAGGTTTTCTTCAGTAAATTATGAGGAAGGTTAGAAATAATTTCAGTCTAGTAATCCTCTAAAGGGATCTACAAAATCTAACCTTTCATTAGTGTCAAGATCTTCAAAATCAGAAGAAACATTACGAGTAGCATGCCACGCTCCCCTCCCTGAGCAGTCATGCCTTGCAGCCTCTTGCAGAGATTCTTGGCTTTAATTTACATATTACTCCATCTAGTGGCCTTAAGGTTCCAGCCTCCAAGAGTTTAAAACTCTGTCCTGGCACCAGCTGGAATTCAAACCTCTGCAGCAGCTTTGCCATCACCACTTTTACCTCCATCTGTTAAGAAGAAAAGCAAACTGTCAGTGACAGCAAATACAGCTTGGACTGCAGCTGCCTAAAGTCAGTCTGCTATCTTATACTGCTTTGTCAATACAGAGATTTAGAAGTTGAATGTTACTCTGCTAATGCAGCTGGTTGAGTTTGGGCAGGAAATCTGGGACTTCCTGGATTTGAAGACAATTCATAGGCAGTAAGATCAGTCTTTCTGTGTTAAACCCATTCTGGAAGTCAGACTGAAAAACTAAAGCACTCTGAGCACTGGTGCTGAGATGAGCTCACAGCACACACCCAAAGCACTGGCCTCTGGCTGTCCTGAAACACTCTCTGCCACACTCACACACATTAAGCTGTTCCTTCTGTCCATGTAGCCCCATCTTCAACTTCTCTGTGCCAGTTCTGGCTTGTGTCCTACTCCAGCTGATGTTTTCCCTGCCTTGATTCTGTCAGTGGCAGCCATGGGATGGTCCCCAAGACACCCTGCACATGCCTGGGTGCTTGACTTTGGCTGGCAAAGGAATGTTGACTGTGATTCCCATTAAGGGGTTTGGACTCAAGCAGGCTGACCCAGGACAGTTTGGAGGGAGTGCAGCCTGCTGCTCTCCTTGGCTGTATGGATGTCTGCTCTTGTGATGGCATTTAAGATACATGCCTGTCATGGGCATGGGGGGAGAAGAGGGTCAGTGCACAGAGCATCAGTGTGGCTTCTGGTGCCCACCACCACCTGTGGTCAGCACACTTGGGCTGGCCCAGTGCTTGCTAGCCAAGTGTTGTTCCAGGTCTCTACTCACCTGTGCAAACACCTGCCCAATGCAGGATCGGGGTCCCAGAGAGAATGGAAAATAGCAGTAATATGGCCTGAAAAGAAAAATGCTCAAAATTGTCACTCTGACAACTTGGTTGCAAAGAAACAAACAAATATTTCATCATAGCAGCAAGGAAATGGTCTATATATCCCCTCACCAATTGGACTTGTTAAAGCAGTCTCCAAATTAACTCTTTTTTTGCTTCAGAGCAGCAATACAGCTTGGCAGAATGTGTCCTTGTCATCATTCTTTACTGTATGGCTCAGCTGCTGGAGCTGTTTTGTTGCATGCCAGCCTTATTTCAAAGCTGAATGTCAAGCACACTCTAAATGCTCTTCAGCCTGTCATGAAGATGTCACAATCCGCCCAATTATTCCTCCTTTGGGCAGCTCTGAACCATGTGAGTGAGGAGGTGATTGGTTTAGGTGACCAGACTAACTCTAGGCTGAAGGAAAGCTCCTACTCATGAAATAGCTGGTGCTGATGCCTGCATCTCTTTGGTCACTCACTGGTCCTTCTATTACACTCCTGACCACTGACTAGACTTAGGCTGCCTGCCCACATGGCTGAACAGCATCTTCTTTCCCTCAGCCCCTTCTCCTCTCTCTAATATGCAGCCATTTCAAGCACCCTGGGACCAGGGCTGTCACTAAATGCTGGCATTGTATTAAGGCAAATATTCAACCTGGTTTGGGCCCAAAACTTTACTTCAATATAAACATTTAATAACAATAATATTGGTCTTTTTTTGTTGTAAGGTAACGTGGTCTAAAGAATTCTTGAACAAAAGCTGTGCATTATTGCTCTCTATTTACATTTGGATGATTTAGTGTTACTCATACTGGAATGGAAAAATAGTTTCATTCTACTTTTCTTTCCCTTGAAATCTCTTCCTGTAATGGTTTCTTAATACATATTTAATAACATGGGAGTAAAAAGAAGCTCACTTAGGTGCATCTTTGCTGAATCGATCTGGATCAAAAGTAAGTGGATCCTTGAAAAACTTTTCCATCCTTCCCATTATATAAGTGTTGAGCTGGCAAGAAAGAGTTTATTTTTGTTAGTCAGGAGGAACACAGTGAAAAGGTATAAAACTATAAATGCCTTCCACTCCCCAGTCCCAACTGAGAGTCTTAATTCATACCCCAGTTTTGGTCAAAACTTTAGAGAAGCCAGTACAAATATGCCTAGGGAAGACTTTGGCCCTCTCATCCACAGGTCCATTACATTTGGATTAACTGGGGCAGCTAAAAGCTGCTGATGGTGGATAGGACTCACAAAGACCGTGGTGTTTGCAGGAACTGTGATGTCGTTGATGACTTGCTCCTTCTCCAGCCTGCGGAGCGTCCCTGAGACGGGCGGGTAAAGCCGCAGTGACTCCTTCAAAATCTGTGTCAGCAAAAAGCACAGGAGGTCAGTTAGTTCAGACATTGTAGGAAGCAGAAATAAAATTAATTACCTCCCTATGGCCTTTCACTTTCGCTAAATGGGAGATTTGAAACAGATGCTTTTGACTTTTGAAACGGATGCTGGTCTATCTGCCTTGAACTCCTGAGGGCAAATACATGGCTAAGTCAGTTCCTTCAGGCCTGGTTCTTTCTTACAGCTAGTAAAATACAGAGAAAAAGACACAAAACCCAGAAAGAGATACTGGAACAGATCTAACTCCTCAAGCCAGACGAGCAACTAAGCAAAAAAGTATCAGGAAGCAAACTCAAAGGAAATATCTAAGTGTGAAGCCTCCTGCCCTTGATGAGCTGTTCTGGGCACTGGCTGCCATGAGGGTGGGTGATTGCTCCCACCTCCTTCCCACTCTCAGCCCCCGCCTTTGTCCTGCTTCTGCTGCTTGAGGAGCTGAGCCAGGTCAGAGCCCCAAAAAGACAAAAAACAACCTGGCAATGGGAAATGAATAGGCAATGTTGAGAAAAAAATGGAACAAGACCATTTCTTTTGGTGCCAGTGAGCTGTAAGAATGGCTTATTTCTTCAAAGTGAAACCTAATTAACAGTGCACATGAGCATCGCACTGAAAATGCAATTAACAGTGTGCATGCACGAGTAGACTAATGAAAAAGGGACCTGGACAAAAGGATTCAGAATTGCCTGAATAACAGGAGAGGAGTCCCATAGTCTCTGATACTCCAGTGATGGACTGGCTCTGACCAAGGGTGACTGATTTTGGTTGTACAGATCCACGCTGTTAAATAAATGGTCTGCTTTGAGAAGCTCTCATGTGATCTGTCTTAAAACTGAAAGGCTTAGATACCTCATCCTAATTGGAATGGTCTAATTGTGACGGTGTTTGGAGAAGCCTAAGGAAGTCTGCTGATTTCTGCAATCACATAAAGTTGCCTTTTCCTTATGAGAAGTATCATGAAATATGAAGTGTATGAGAAGTACCTATGAAATCTATCTGTTATCAAAGCACAGTAATTTGTGGGATACGGTATGCCAAATGGTAAAACACTGTTGCTCACCTCAGCAGGAAAGTTTAAAACAAAAAGGATCATGGCAGACTACTAAAATCACAAAGCAATTTATGTAGAATAGCTGCCAGGAATGTGATTCAGCCTCTCCTGAGGGCTACTGGTGTCCCCCATCTTGTAAGAAAAGGAAATGCAACACAAACATTGGCTAATAGCCAACCCTGGCTTTGCAGATCATTACCAACTAGCATTTCTATACACAAAACCTCTTTGAGGACCAAACTCTTTCCCCCACCACCTCCAAGTGACTGAAGAGGGTTTCAAGACTGAATAATGAAAAACGGACATTAGACAACCCAGCCATTATTTTTGGCTATCCTCAAACCCCACTTTATTTCATTTGGTGAGATCATAGCTGGAAATGCTTTAACAACAATCAAACAAAAATAGTGAATTCAGAAAGTGTGTGGGATTCACACACAGGTTGGGCTCAAAGCTGCACACCTTTCTTAAAATTACAGCTATTGTTTCACCTTAAACAGAAAGGGATTATGCAACTATACTCTAGCTCCCAGACTGGTAATAATTAAGGAAAACAGTGAAGGAACCTGTAAATTTGAGGAGCATCTTTTCCAATAAGGCTGGGCTGCTGCAAATGTGTTGGGCTACCTGGTTGCTGACTCACTGGGGACAAACACTATGTGGATAATATATCAGCATAGTTTTTAAAATTTTAAAAGTGACATGTCATGGAGACATGACACAGAGGTGCTACCAAACAGCTCTGCCTGGTATCTTACCTCACTCCTACAATACCTGTGATAAGTAGGTGAGCTTGCCAAGATCCTCATAGTCAACGTCTCTCTTGGCACCAAGAACCTCATCCACTTCAGCCTGAGCCCTGCAGTTCAATTAAAACTTGTTAGCTGCAGATGCCTGTTTCTTGCTAGGCAAGTTGACAAATTACATTCTTTCACTTTCCAGACACTGAGTTGGACTTAAACACCCATCCTCAGGCAAAATGCCAACCAATTCCCGTCCAGGCTTCCTGAACTTATACCTCGTATCACGATGAGGCAATGAGCATACAAGGCAGCTGAATCAGGTGGGATTTGGGACCTGTGTGTCTAAAAGCTTTGAAAAAAATCACCGAGGTGAAACTGAAATAATCCATCTTAAGGTTTTCCTTTTCATACATTTTGGATATATTGGTACTAGGAAACTGTTTATTTTGGAAGGGAGGCTCGAATTTATTGGGAACTGATCCTATCTTTTTAATTACGCTTACAATTAAGTTCACCTTGAAATTAACATCAAGCTGGGTCTGCAGATTGGAGCACACATACCTTTCCAGTATTTCAGGATGCTGACCCAGTGCCATTACTGTAAATGTCATCTGATTGGCACTGGTTTCATGACCTAATGATAACAAAAACCAGTTTGAGAGTTAGTATGAAATAATAACACAATATGAAGATGGTCTACTAGGGTGATCATGAATAGGAAGGTTTAAACATCAAACCCCAAATGTTTTATTTCAAATATGCTAGAAAATAAAGGAAATAATAAGAGTAAAGTCTAAGTAAATAACTTTCAACAATGACAAGAAAATGACATAGCTGGCAAAGATATGACCCATCTTGCCCAAGTCAAAGCTGCAGTGGTTGCAAGCAGCACCTACTGATCATCAGCTCCCTAACAGGAAGGCCAGTGAGGTCCAGGATTTGCCTTCTCATATTATGGGACACACAGTTCTGCCAAAAAGGAAGGATTTACTGGTTTTGGAGAAAACAGAGCTTCTTACCATCTTTCTTTGAAAGATCTGCTTTACATGTTAGGATGACCCTGCTTGAGCAGGGAGGTTGGACCAGAAGACCCTTCCAACCTTACCCATTTTGTGACTCTCTGATGTGGACACTTTTCTCTTTTTTTCATGGATAGAAACGTGCTATTTTAAAGCATTACAGAAAACAGACGTCTGCAAAGATGTCTACTGCAATAACATCTTTCTTGCCAAAGAACAGTATTTTGACCTCACCTTCTTATGAACCTAAATCCTCTTGATCTGTAAAATGTAGTTTATCTCACATGATTACTCAGCCCATACATTTTCTGATTGGCTTGACAGTGCCTTCTACTGCTTAGGCAAGAATGGCATTTAATCATGTGGGTGAGGTGATGCAAAGACATATTGAATATGGAAAAGATGTTTTTGGTTGGGTTATGTGGGATCTGGATGGAAGAGCCAGAACCCCACAAGGAATAGCCTTGCACCCCAGTGAGCAATGGAAAGACAGAGGCTGGAAAACAGAGTGGGAAGCCAGTGGTTGGAAAACACCAGCCTGGCATTATTTGCTGCGTTGATATCACTGAAATATATAGTATAATATATATATTATAATATATATAATATATATAATATATATAATTTGCCTGTGCAAAAATTAAGAGCTGCCTTCAGACCTCACCAAGCTGGTCCTATGCCAATGTAATACTGCTGTCTTCCAACCAAGAGACTCCTGGTTGCAGCAGCATCACATGGAGTGATGTTAATCATGATGTTAATTATGATTAACGAGGATGTCAATCATGACCTTGTAGACAGTTTGAGTACAGCTTCCCACATGTCATATCCAAGCATTAAAATAGCTACCAACCTGCAACAAAGAAAGTGATAAAGTTATCCAGAATGTTTTCATCATCTCTGGTCTCCTCCAGAGCTGTCAAGATAGAAAACCAAGCAGGATTAGAAAATACCCCAGCTGGACCAGCCAGAATGCTCTGTCCTGTTTAGCACATACTGGCTGAGGTGGCATTGAGAAAGGATGCTGAGTGAGCATTTCAGTGGTGACTTGTGACCAGTATTGGATTCAACATAAAGAAACAGAGAATTTTCAAAGCAGCTCTCACTATCTTCAGTGTGAAAAGAACTTTAAAGGAAGATCCAAGTTCAGATCTCCAAAACAATCCTCCCTGAAATTCACAGCAAAACATACCACAGAGAAATTCACTCTTACCAGCTCCTTTCAGTATCTGTGTAAGAATATCCATGGTGGCTTCTTTCCCATTCTGGATGGCTTCTCTCCTCCGGTCAATGCACTCCTTTGCCACACGTCTCAACAGCCTCACACTCTCCCTGACCTCCTTCACCAGCTTCTGCTTCCCTGGCATGAACTGAATACAGAATTTCTCTTGTCATTTTATTCCTTTTGCTGGTAAAAATTAATGTCAGTGTTATTTTACAAGTGAGCACCTTGTTTCCCACTAAATGATGCTCGTCACAAAAACATTTGCTCTCTATGCAACAAACTGAATGCCTGCAGGATGAAGGGTTGGGCCAAAATACCAAATATTTCAATCTGTGCATGCTGGTGTCGTGTCTCATCAGAGCTGATGTTTTGGGCGCTGTGAGCAAAATTCATCACCTCTCCATGGAAAGAAACTGCAGCATGCAATGCAGAATCTCACTCCTGGTCTCAAAAAGGAAAACAGGAACTCTAAAAGTCTGAACTACATCTTTCATGAGACACTGGAATAATTCTTTACTTAAATATTTAATATATTACATCCATAATTTCCTAGTAGATGAATTTGGGTTGAATATGCAATTTTTCTCAGCAAGAATGCTCAAATTTCTTCCATCCTGAGTGAAGGCTGCCATCCTTCTTAGACAAATGGCAAAAATCTCAATTTTTAATGCGTATGAGAGCATAAAACTATATCTGAAGGAGACACATGCGGGGGGAACAAAAGAAAAAAAAAAGAAGCATTAAATATTGATGTAAATTTCATGAATTTTTTTAAGCACTAATGAATCTTATCTTGATGCACATTGGAGGGAAAGATCCACAGATGACTGTTTCCCTGACATATATGGACCTTGCACAGCTCCATGAACTCAAGCAGGAGCAGCTGAATGTGAAGATAGGACTGAAGTGAGCAGAGTACAGACCCTCATGAAGGGGACGCGTGCCTTGTTCAGTCCCTCCATAATCTTAGTCACAGCGTTGGGTAAAGGCGTCTGGTCATCACTCAGTGCATTTAATTCCAAGCCAAAGGCTACCTGAGAAGTAGGAGAAGAAAAGGAAACTTGCTGGGGAGGGGGTGAAAGAGCAGAATAGCCTCACAGCACCATCTTTTCCCCTAAAAATATCTCATGCTAGATCCTACCTTGCAGGAGGCTGCGAGGGGAGGGCGATATCAACATTATGTTTTTTCCTTATTTGGGTGGATTAATAATTTACTACTACTCTCCATGCCTCCCAAACTGGTTTTCATAGAAGGGGAAAAGGCAGCGTAAGGCAGACTTCATGCTGACATACAATGGCAATAATACAACCTCCAACCATGAAAGAGCCCTGGTGTGTCCCTTTTGGCATGGAGGGTTGGGAGGTATGAGGCTGAAAGAACTTTTGCAAAGGCCACACCTAGACTATGCAAACTCTTCCCTAATTGCTCTTTCCCATGGCTCAGCCTGAATGGAAGTGGCACAATTAGTCCTGCAGGTCTTCTGGCACTGCTGGATAAAGATCTTTCTCCCTGCCTCCAGCTCCTGATCCCACCCTGCTGCTGGCAGGCATTACTTCCATCCCTTCCTGCCAGTTGCACAGGAAACAAGAAAGGGACAGCTGGTACCTTGCCAATGATATCCATAGTCACCCGGCTCATCATCGACAGCATGCTAAACTCAGTTTTTCCATCTGCCTTTTCCTCTAGCTTCTCCATCAGCTCCTCTGCTTTTTCATTAAAAGTTTCCATCAGACCAATCAGGTAGCTGAACAATCAATAAAGATGAGTAATGGGGGCTCTGGAGAGGACATCTTTGCTCAGACAAAATAATCTTTATTATTTTCCATAGAAAATGGTAAGGTTTTTAAAATTTTATAATTAATTTGTCTTAATACATTAAAAAACAAACATATAAAATGAGCTAGATTCTTCATACAGCAGCCCTGCTCTGCCCTGCCATGTAATTAACATCTGCTATGGCAAAGGGTGGTGGCCTTTGCCCACCAAGGCACATGGACTTTATCTTTGGACCTTACATACAATGCATCAAGGTGCACAAAGAAACCAGACCAACCCTCTGCCTTATCTTTTCCAACAGGATAAGGCAGCCATAACCATGCTCCAGGATACACAACCTTGGGACCTTTCTGCCATTGCTGAGTTCATAGGGGTGTCACTGCTCCATGGGAAGTCTGGTCAAATTATACTTAGCATGGGAATGGAATGCTGGATTCTAAGCTAAATAAGATTTTGGCACTGAATATTGAGGTCTTTTCCATCCAAATACCAAATAATGGCAGGGAGAAGCATGACAATACAGAAAAAGTAACAGCTAGATTATCCCAGAAATACTTGCCTTACCTTCGGCTGAAAGCCGGATCCATTATCCTCCGCTGCTTGCGCCAATGCTCATGGTTGCAAACAGTTACCAAGCCATTCCCTATGAACCTAGCACACAGGAAAACAAGGAAAGGAACAGTTTTATGCAAGGGAGCCTGCTGAACCCCATGTAGTCACAAATGTAAGTCTTTCACATCTACTTTCTTTTATTTTTCCCCATGTGTAGGGAGTACCTTTGAGTATGCAACCACACTTTGGACAACAACTGAACCACAGATTTTTCCTCCAGGTAGGTGTGAACTGATGAGTCCAATAAGATGCTAGTTCATTACAGCGATTATGCAAATAAAATAGTAACTTGATTATTGTATTTTTAAAAGCTTCAGATTAACAAGGAAAAAAATCCCTCTTTTTGGAATTGAATTTAGAAATTGCAAACTGCCATGCCTTATGGAGTGCTCTAAAATCAGTGCTCCAAAATCTGAGAAGTTTGATGATAGTCTTGAGCAGACTGCTCTGAGACTAACTGGACATCCCCAGTAGGAAAAAGAATACATGATCAAGGTAAAACAAAATTCAACATATCCTCCTCCCTGACTGGGAAGACATTTGACTTGACATACAGTTTAATAGGTACATGCTGCTTACATGTGTCTGGAATTAGAAATTAATCCCCACATTAAGGTAAATGGTCTGAGTCAAAATCTCATGCCTGTGATATTATTAATCTCGCACTTATTTTCAGATCATGGTAGCTTCAGATGGGTTTTGCCTACCTCTCACCAAACAGGCTGAAGAGAGTACCATACACTATTGGATCCTTTGGGTGCTGTGGCGACATCAAGAACTCCTAAAACCAAATCTCAGGTCAGTAAATACTGAGTGCAATCTGTTTCCCAGACAAAACACAAAATTTCACTCACACACATTTACTCTTCTTCTGCAGCACTAGTCTGAAGAGTAGATGAATTATTTGGTGTGCCCTGATTCCCCAGTTCCTGTGCTGCTAGCTTGTTATGCATGCCTCTAGCACTTTTTTGCCCAATGACCTGAAATCTCACTCAGTTGTAACTGCAAAGACTTAGCGAAAGAAATTTGGTAGCTCGTGCCCCATTCAAGATATTGAGCTCTTGCAGAGGGCCTGCTTTTCACAAATGGAAAATGCTTGCTATATCTGCTGTTTAAATAAAAGTAACAAAATAAATTAATTGATCAAGGAAAAAATAAATCAGGACAGCCAAGCACCTCATCCTCTTAACCCAGCCAGAGCCAAGCACAGACTGGCTGCTTTGTGCTGCTCTGATCATCAGGCACTAGCTCTCACGTTACGGAGTGATGGGCTGATCTCCACTATTGATTTGGCTTTATTTTTCAGTACCTTCACTCCTTCAGGGCTCACAATCAATACTGAGATTCTGTGAAAGGCATTCATTCGTACAACAGGTCCATATTTCTCTGCCCTGTAAGAAGAGAAAACTTTTTTAAAAAGAAAATTAAGGTACAAACTACCAACATGCAACAGCTCAGACCTAATAACCTCAAAGGACCAGAGCATATTACAGTGGAAACTACCACAGTCCCCAGCCAATAAAGTCATTAAGAGAATCACAGGACAGAATAATCAAGGTTGGAAGAGACCTTCAAGATCACCTGATCCAACTGCCAACTCATCACCACGATAATCACCCCTAAACCATATCCCCAAGTGCCACATCCAGATGTCTCTTGAACATCTCCACAAAGTTAATCCACCAGCATCCTTATTCCAATGGCTAACCATTCTTTCAGTGAAAAAGTTTTTTCTAATATCTAATCTGATCTGAAAGAAGAGTGCTCTCTCTCTCTCTCTAGCTCCTTTGCCAGCCTTCTCAATTATGCTAATTATGTAATTCTGTAAGGGTCCTTGTGCCTTGATTCCTCATACGTGCTACAGCACCACCCCACTCATGTTATTAGTGTGCCTCAACTTACCACTGCAGGAAGAGATCTGGCGTAAACTCCTGTTTCCTCACCATTCTCCATATGATTGGTAGGTGTCCAAATAAAAAGCTGCAGAATATGAAGGTTAAGAGTTATGAGGATACCAGCATAGGGTTTTGTATGGATTGCAATCCTTGTTGCTCAGCGAGTGCTGCTCATGTTTTCCTAGTAAGGGAAGATGAAAATAACTCTGAGCTGTGCCAATGCCCAGCCCTCACCAAGCTGGAAAACTGGGGGCCAAAGACTGTCTGGTGCTCACATGCAGCCAGCAGGACCAGTACAGAGATGAAGGACGTGATCTTTTTCTTATGCTGTATTATAAGAGATATTTGGGTCTGGATGGAGCTCCCATGAATTGCTTTGCACTTTGCCTGACTGAATCTGGACTGCAGCTATTACATTGCTGTACATGAAAGAGACATTTACATTAAGTACTCTTTAATACATGATCCCTGGTAAGTGTAACTTCATTTCTGTCTATGGATTTCTGTTAAGAGAAATTAGGAACGATCTCCTTCTGTCCAAAACCACGTCATTTCAAATACTGAGGAGGATAATTACTGGTTAATATGGGTATTGAAGAAATTAATACAAAATGTTAACTCTTCAAATACAATAGCTGCACTAAAAACGTAGAGATCAATTCTTTCCTTCAACTGTGAGTGGTGAATTCCCATTGGCTTTGCATAAATCTGAGGGAAGATTTGGCCAAGCTCCTCTCTAAATGAAGCAAGCTGCACTCAAGGTCTGTTTTCCATTTGAGAGACAGACAGTCATGCTATCATCCTTTTCAGTATAAATAAGTTATGGGGAAAAACAGACACTTATTTTATTACTGTTGGAACTGGGAGGCGCTTAAAATAACAAGAACTCAACAAAGTTACTCAACATCTACAGAAATTTTTAATCTTCCACTTGCTTGACTCCACCTTTGTAACTGTATTCTAAAAAGATGTGAAAGCCCCAAATACAACAGAACTCCTTTGTTAGCTCTGGAAACTGCTCTATCTACACCACAGGAAACAAGGTCCCACTCATGGCTCCTCTGGTGTGCCATCACTCTACGCTGTTACTTCACACCTCAAAATGAACTTAAGGATGAGCAGGTTCAGATATGACAAGATGATCCTGTCTCTAGTCTTGGTATCTGACCCTGATTACACAAGTAGGCTGAAGCCTGGAGGTGGCAGGGGAGAGTGGTGTCCCCGTAAAGCAGTGGATGAGTGCTGGTGTCTCTTCCTGTGGTATGTTATGGAGAGCATGTGCATCCACAGGTGGGGTCAAGTGGGAAGCTCACACTCTCCTGCAGGAACCATGACTTCTTGTGACAGCGCTGCCACTGCCTTGCCGGCAGCTTTCTCTCTGCCCCTTATCACTTATGACATTTTTATTTATTTTTGGCAGAAACTAAACACCTGGCTTATAAAGGAGAGCAGGGAAGGCGCCTGCTGGAATTCGTGCCAACGTGCCTCCTGGAGCAGCGTGGAGCTGGCGGTGCTTCCAGGTCCCTCTCCAGGGCTATGGGCAAACACAGCTCTGGTGAGCGGCTCCAAAGCGCCCCTTCGTGCCGCTGTGGCCACCGGGGAGATGTAGGTCAGGACATTCAGTCCCGGCCAGGCAGGCCGTGCGGCTGAGCAGGCTGCTGAGCCCTCACCGCTGCCCTTGCCCGCACCCGCCGGCCCGGCCCGGCGCACGAACACCGGCTGCAGGGTTTATCGCCTGCTCTGACCTTGCCCCACGGCTCTGCGGACACACCGAGCCGGCCGCCGCCGCCTGGCCTGCCCGGCCAGCCCCTTACCTCTCCCGCGGGGGGCCGGGGATGTAGTCGTACTTGGCGTGGATGTACTGCACGTAGCAACAGTATAGGACGAAGGCCAGGAGGGACAGGGCCAGCAGGAGCCCCCCCGCCGCCCACAGCACCTCCATCCCCGCCGGCTGCCAGCGCCTCCCCTCACACGCAGCAAAGGGCGGCCGGGGCGGGCCGGGAGCAGCCCCGGCTGGGGCGGGGACGGCCCCGTTAAAGGGCCCGGAGCGCTGCGCTGATCCAGCACGGCCGCACGGCCTGTGCCCCTGCGGAGGGCCCAGAGCGGCACACCGAGATGCTCATAGTGCTGGAGCATCCTTCATACGAGGACAGGCTGAGACAGTCGGAGCTGTTCAGCCTGGAGAATAAGAAGGTTCCGGACAGACTTTTTTGCAGGGACTGCAAGAGAGCAGGAGAGGGACTTGTTACATATAACAAGGGGAAAGGGCTTTGAACTTAAAGAACATAGATCTAGATTAGATATTAGGAATAAATTCTTTACTGTGAGGATAGTGAGGCACTGGAACAGGTGTTCCAGAGGAGTTGTGGATGCCCTGTCCCTGCAAGTCTTCAAGACCAGGTTGAATGGGGCTTTGAGCAACCTGGTCTAGTGTAAGGTGTGTCCCTGACTGCGGCAGGGGATGAGGGCGGAACTAGGTGATCTTTATGGTGCCTTTCAACCAAAACTATTATATGACAGGTACACACATATATATGTGTGTGTGTATGGATATATGCTTTCCTGGGTGGAGATGATGCTTTGCACAGGTGCATGAGGAGGTCAGGAAGGATGCTGCACCTTCCTATGTTTGTTTACAAAAGTGTTTTTAATAAAGCTCATCTCTGAAGGCTCCTAGACAAACCAAGTGTCCCAAGACAAGGAAGGCAGAGGCTTTTTGTTTACTTTTAACTGTTTAAATTAGAAGAGACAATGGAAATGTGCTGTTGATGCTGGTAGGAATCAGCAGGTGAAGGTTTTTAGAGCAATCTGCTTTAAGCACTGTGTTATACAACATGCTCATTTCTCATCCGGACACAGGAGTATGAGCTGATACTGTTTTATTCAAAACAAGCAATCTAATACTCACACAAATTGCATAAGGATTGCAGGACACAAGGGAGCAAGCCATAAAAATGAGGAAATTAGTTTCTGATGAATGAAAAGTAATGCATGGGGGAAGACAAAATATGTGTATACATACCCATATACATGCAAACCAGTTATGTATATTTAGTGGTGGTACTTATTTAGCAACTTCACCTTAATGCTCAGTACAGATGAAAGAAGCAAGCAGAGCATTGACAGTGATTAGAAATGGGAGAGCAGGTAAAACAAGGTGCCTGAATGTACTGGCAGATGGAGACCTGGATAAACCTGGGGCACACTCACCATGTGGGAATACCTCATGCACTCTTCCTACCAGCTCAGCTACCAGAACAGGTTAAGCCTTAAACTGGAAAAAAGATGAGTGAGGGAGGTTATGACAGGTGTCTGGAAAAACACCAGTTGTCTAGAGATAAATAGGGACAAACCGAGTCATTACTTTGCATAATTCAGGAACAAGGAGGTGCCACTGAAATGATCCAACAGCAGGTGTAAAAGAGGAATACATTTTTCCCAACAAATTGTTAAATAGGGGAACTCATGGCAACAAGCTGTTGTGGGAGCTAAGTAAGTAAGCTGGCTCACAAGAAGCCAGGGAAAGCGATGGAGGATGGCACCAGGAACCATCACTGGCCTCAGCAGGACCTCTGCACTCTGGAGATTTCTGACAGGAAGAGCAAAACCTCAAATTGCTCAAGAAAACCAAGAAGGTATGCAAACCATCTGCTGCATCCTCGTTTCTTCCCATCCTGCCCTTAGTCAAGCAGCCTTTCAATCACTGCATTTCAATCACAACCTCCATTCCTGCATTTGGAATCAGTCTCAGAATAATTCCTGTGAAAAATTCCTGCTTGCGCCTTGTTTGTGAGCAGCTCACTGGAAGGTGATAAAATGTTTCGTATTTTACACATTTTGATGGGAAAGAGAGGCTATGTGATACAGTTGTAGCTCCTGAGTAAATCAGGTAAACTCTCAAAATTAGGCTTCTCAGGCAAATATAATTATCAGCTGATAACTCCAATAAGTATTCAGCCTGGGTACGCTGCAGGAATTACCTTAATTTTTATGCTTTAAAGATGAACTTCAATAAAAACTTTCGCGTTCCAGCAAACTTTAATACAACCCTTTGTTTGTATTCTAACGTGTTTCTATACCCTTGAGTGAAAGACGTGATCCCAAGACGCTCTTGTGTTTATGATCTGCCCGGGAGCCGCACGCTGCGCTGGGAGGATGGAGCAAGGCTGGGCTGGGCTGAGCTGGGCTGGGCTGAGCTGAGCTTTCCTGCATGTCCCCTTGCTGCTGGGGACTGAAGTGCCACCGCGTGGACATCCTGCCAGCCTGCACACACAGAGATCTAGGAGCCCATCAGAGGAGCAGAGAACTGGGAACTGTTAACAGCTGAAGTTCCACGGTGAATTTGAAAAGCTGGTGAGATATACGGCTGGTCCTGCTCTCTTTTGCTTGGCTTTGCATGGCTATCTATGTTGGAAAACATTCTATTCTCTCTCTGAAGGTGCAGCATTGTTTAAGTTGTAAGTGAGGACAGCAAAGAGAAGGCAGAGCATAGGCAGCTCTTGTGCTGGGAAATGCCTTCAGCAGCACACAAATAGCCAGAGGGCTGGGCGTCCTTGTCACTCAGAATTTACCACGGCAGACGTGGACAGGAAAACTCTCATAACAAGTTAATAATGATAAATGAGCTGACCTAAAACCAGGCCTCTAGCCACAGATCATGCCCTATGAGTCAAAAGAAAATCTGCAGTGGATTAGGTGTTACTTACCCAGCATTGCCAAACACAGATCTTTGCAGTGATTTACACCCTGAGCCAGTTGTCCCCCAGCCCTTACATATTGAGATCCTGATCATTGTCAGTCAATAAAATTTTCCAGCATGGAGTGGACAAGTAAATGGCAAGATGTTAATAATAACAGAAACAGTCTAAGGGTTTAGTTATTGCCAACAGCTAATGCCCCTGAGGAACTAACTACTTGATGTGATACTTGTATAACTGACTGAGCACTACAGACATTGTTTTGTTTTGTTTTGTTAAAAATAGCATCCCTATTTACCACATTATTGTAAAGGAATGCTTGCCATTTCCATCATAGTTGTTTTTCTGACAACATTGAAACATTGCTTGAGGCAGTTCTATATCTGCACCTGTGCCCTAGACATGAGAACCTTGGGAAAGTCATGTACGAGACAGCAAGGTATGAACGTACATCAAATGGGTTGCATGTTTTGTTGGTTTACAGAGGAAAAAAAATATGCTTTCTTAAAGCTTACATTTGGAAATACAGTTAGTAGTTACCAAAAGATGCTTACATCTCTTTTCATGTAGAAAAATGTTTGTTTATGTCAGAAACTATCTAAGGGGACCAGTGCATCTCACTTGCCAAGCTGACCTTTAGAGAGGACTACTGGCATGTTTCCAAGACGAAAGTAGACTTTGATATTGATACCTTGTGACTGTTTTACTCCTTTGTGCCTCTGAATTCCTTTGTTGACCACACCCGAACAGCGACAGGCTGAGCTCTCTGACAGAGGGACGAGTTTGTGCTGGGGACTGTCCCACATAGCCCTACCAGTAGTAACCCGGGAAGGGAGAGACAGGCTGAGCTGGGCACAGCCCTGGGAGTGTTTTGCTGGGTTTGGGCTCTGGGGCAGGGCAGGCGTTCAAGACCTGCTGTTCTCCCTTGGCCATCATAAATCCCAACACAAGGGTCTAACTGGTGAGACACTGAAGGCAAGACAAACACGATGGCAGCATGTGAAGCTGGGGCCCCAGGCTCATCTTTGCACCCTGTGCCAGTGTCACCTACAGTGCCACCACTTAGCTTTCCGAACTTGAGTCATGCCTGCGCTTATTAATGTGATACATTGTGCCTCATGCTGTTCATACCCTGTAGCCTGACCTGGGCAGAGCTGAAATTTCCCTGACACGGAGGATATCCTCATGGACATCCACATGGATCCTCATGGCTCCAGCCAGGGCTCAGCTCCCAGGAGGGTTTTGCCAGCATTTGAGTGAGAACCCCTGATACAGCACCCTACCTATCTCACTTTCCTCCACTGCTTGGGCAACCTCTAAAGATCATTCCTATATATGTTGGGAAGAGTTATCTATTTGATTTTTTTTGGAAAGAGTATGGTAAGTTCAAATGAAGGTAATGTCTATACTGTAGACTGCAACACAGTGTGGCAGTGCTCAAGTTGAATGCTGGGCACCACAGGGACATAAGTAAAAGATCCTGAGCTCTGGGCAGAGCTACTCTGCCTTAGAGGTAGAGAAAAAGACATGGAAATGCTGAGTTTACTCTGTTCCCTTAGAGATATGCTGGGTCCTCTATGTGATACAGCTGTGCTAACTTAAGGAAAGATATGTCAGGAAAAATGCAGGTGCTCCAGTCTCAGTCACAGACTTGAATCAGGAGACAAGGCAATAAACCATATTGCTACTAGACAAAAGTTTGGGACTGCCACAGAGTACATGAGGAAGTCTGGTTGCACTGTGGGCTATTTTAAGATTTATCCTGAAGTAGCATCCAGGAAGTATACTGTCGTGTTCAAGTGTAGCAGCAGGGCTTATTAGTTTATCTGATGCTTAATTGGTGTGACATCCTGCTATATAAAAATGATATCAACAGATGAGATAGCAGGTATTTAAATGGATGTATACTTGTGTGCTTTAAATAGTACAGGCTCATAATTTAAATACCAGTGAAATAGATTGACAGATACTAGGACTTAGAACAGATATATTTTAAGCTCGGAAGGGACCACAATGGTCTGAAATTCCTCCCCAGCATCATAGCAACGTACTGAGCTGGCAGGCACACAATCATGTGTGCTGAGCTGGCTTGATACTATTTGAACACCTTCCCCACTCAGTGTAGGCTGGGAGAAAGCATAAGAGGAAAAAAACCCTGTACTTACAAGTCTTGTCTCTTTCTCTGCTGATAAATATTTCCCTGTGGAGTTGGCAGCACCTGCATAGCAGCACCAGCAAACACGGGGGGTGCAGGGCTCTGTGCCAGGCACAGCTCGCTCTCACCCACAGCTGCTCCCTGGGGGCTGGCTCTCCTGTGCCTCTGGCTGCCACCAGAGTCTGTGTGTCACCCTGCCTGCCAGCCGGGGCTGGTGCAAGTCCCCACCAGCAATATCCGAGATGTACGTGGCCTCTGCTTCTTCTCAGGATGTTCAAATGGACAAATGAAGGTGCAGGGTAACTAATAGTTAAATTAGAAAATGAATACTTAATAGTTAGACTATGATGGTGAAATTCCTGCCTAATTCATCTGTGGCAGACATCCTGGAATCACCTCAATTCCTTTAGGGTAATTTTTATTGTGCAGATCTTTTTTTCTACCTAGAAGTTTTGAAGTATAACTATAACCAAGATTCTCCTTAAAATCTCCCAGACAGAGGGAGCTGAAATCTAGCCAATGAACCAAAAGAACTGGAAGAGGAATTCAGGAAAAGAGAGATTGTATCTGAACCTTCCATTTTCTTCCAGCCCTTTAGTCCTGCCAGCTCAATAGGTTCCAACTCTTTTAACAAAAGAATTTACAAAGGACTCTCCTGTTCCCTGAAGGTTTTGATGTGCCCGAAGTGAATTTCTGTGCTTGAAACAAATGAGTTTGCAACTTCACTGCAATGGGAAAGGCCTGGTAACAGTCTGGCGTGTGATGGCATTTGTAGGTTTTCAAACGAAATGAGAGTAGTACTTCTCAAAAGGCACTTTATACATCTGTTTCCCCTTTATACTTCATAAGAAGTAGGGGAAAATACTTTGGATCATCTGGTTTTGTGTATTGAAGGTGTTCTTTAATACCAAAAACAATTTAATGAGAATTTATCAGAAAGTTCAGGAAAAATATTTAAAGCAGGTTAATTTACCCTATACAAGTTTCAGACTTAAGAAGATACCATCAGCTTGAAATTGTGTTAAAATAAATATCCCCAGTAAGAGCTTTAGATGCAAGGTTTTGCTTGTGAATATTTCTAGACACACTGGTCATTTTACATTTGAAGTTTTTTAGGGTTTTGGGGTTTTTTTTGTCTTTCTCATGTTCTTGTTTGAGCAGCAAGACAAAACCTATCCTGATTACACCAGGGAAAACAAATAACCAGGCCAAATGCTTTCATAAGACAACATGTGTCTCCCATCACCACTCAGGTGAAAAATATTTCAGACAAAATAGAGTTGCTTTTTTTTTAATATCCTCTAAAAAGGGGTAAATATTACAGGATTATTGCCTCAGTGCATTACCTCTTGTCTAGTCCTTCACACCTGTGAAAAACTGAATGAAAAAACATGTGTCTTCATAAAGTGCGGGGAAGTAGAGAAAATATCCTCAGAGCTAAACTCGATAATGATCCCGTTCATCTAAAAAGGGATAGATTTTCAATCTTGTTCACGTAAAAGGGGTTAGGTTTTCTTTTCACTTAGGCTAATGTAAACTGCAGAAATATTTTTCATGCAGCATACTATGATTTCTTCTAAATCATCTGGTTTTGCTTATTCTTGATGACCAATAGGTTAATACCAATAAAAACATTACAGAAAAATAATTTTCCTTTAAGCTAGTAAGTGAAAAGTTTAGAAAAATATATAGTTCTGTGATATGCAAAGAAAGGCACAGGTTTAGAAAGGCACGTCCTTAGAAACCTCAGAGCTGCAGGTGGCACAGCAAGGCAAACAATGCAAATGCTTCTGTAAGAATTAAACACAGTCATTTGGGAATTTACCTTTTGGCAAAACATTGTGAAACACAGCTGAAGAATTTTGTATTTTGAAATGGGAAAGGGCAATAGGATGCATCTCTTTTTTGATCTATAAAGGCTGATGCTTGGAGATTTCTTATTACAAAAAAAATCCCAAAAACCATAGAAATGCAACCCCTGTCCACAACATACTCAGTTCAGTGCTTCGTTTTACTTTTTTTCCCCCTCTGAGGCAGATGCATGGGACGAACATGAAGAAAACATAAGATTACTCTGAACAGATGCAGCATCCTCAAGGCAAGGCACACCCTCCTCAATACTGCAGCTGGTTTAGAGGGCTGGGCAAGAAAGGGATGTGCTCCAAGTCCCTCGGCTGCCTCTCCCAGCTCTCCAGTCACCCGTGTGTCACCTCCTCCCGGCTGCACACCACGCCAGCATCCTCCTCGTGCGAGCAGTTGTGCGTGCCGATATCGGCATGGGAGCACTCCAGCAGCGTCCTCTCCTGCCCGGAGCACTGCACATCATCCAGGAGAATGCGGAGGGAGGTCCCTTGCCCAAACTCTGCCTTCTTGGCGGCCCGCACGGCGTAGGGGAAGCCGAGCTGGCGGCACACCACGGCGGCGGCAGGCAAGCCCCAGCCATCGTCGCACACCGTGCCCCACTGGCCGTGGATGAACACCTCCACCCTGCCGCGGGCGCGGCCGCGCCGGCCCCGCCGCATCAGCCGCACCGCCCCATCGCTGGGCGGCTTCTTCCTCCTGCGCTGCCCGCTCTCCTCTGCCCCCCTGCCCGGCCCTGGGGCTCTGCCGCCGGGCCCTGCCGTGCTGGCCGTCCTGCTCCGGTCCCCCGGGGCTCTGCCCGCCCCATCCACTGCCGGCGGGCGCGGGGTTTGGGGCTCGGGGTCGCCTCCCCTCGGGGTCGTGCTCTTCAGCCGCGGATGTGCTGTTGGTTCTTTCATAATAAACTCTGTTGGGGGAAAGCCAGAAAACCATGAGCCTGTCACTCTCTGGGTTGAGGACAACTGTACAAAACCAGTGCTGATTTTTGACTTATTTAACTAATTTCTTGGAATGCGCCTAATTGATCCTGTTGATAAGCAGCAACGCTCTTAGCGAGCCGGTATTTCCTCAGAGAAAAATGTCGGCTGCTGGTAGTTAGCAGAGAGGACTGAAGGGCTGAATGCCAACACTGAGCCTCTCCCAAAAAGGAAGCTCCAAGTGGTTTATTGGCAAATAAACCTGGCCCTTAAAGGGTAGCTGTAGGTTCTGGAGTTTCACATTCAGGAGAGGAGCTCTTCGCCACATCCAAAGCGTTTTACAGACAGGCACTATTTCTGCTCTTCTCTTCATTACTAAGGATTGGATCATTACCAGAGGAGAGCGTGGCCTCCCCACTGGGCCAGATGCTTTATTCAGAGGAGCTGAAATCGGGAACATTCAAAATCAATTCTCTCTGGCAACTGGAATGTGCAAGAGGAACGGAGTTGCCAGGACAACACATAAAACAGGATCTGGGGTTGGGTTTGTTCTTCCTTATGAAAAAAAAAAAAAAGGAGCCTTGAACTCTGAAGAGATGAAAATTCTTTGCTGTCACAGTTTCCAGGTGTTACTGGACTTGCTTATTCACATGTGCTTTATTTTTAGCTTAAAAATAAGTTTTAGTTTGCCAGAAGGAAGCAATTCAGAATTTCATGGACTAACATTCAACAGAGCTAGGACAGTGTCACAGACATTTGCAAAGACATCATGACTTTGAGTTATATCCCAGATTTATGCATTCTCATTCATCATTTGCTTTGTAGTACAGAGACAAGGAAAAATATCACTGTCTTATTTGTGCTTAGTATCTATTGTCCCCAAAAGACAAACCCTTGCACTGGTCCATGTTTTTCCAAAGAATGCTCTTTGAAAAGGAATTGTGTTCATGACATGAAAATATTTCCTTTCTTTGAAAGCTGTGGTTCTCAAGGCAAGAAACCGATTTGCAGGCCTTACCTGTGCACAGCTCATTTGCAGGAGCCTGGTCTGGCAAAGCACTTGAAAACCCTGGGGCTGATTGAATACTATGTAGGACTGTATGAAAGCTAATGGTCACCTGGGAGTGCTTTTCACCTCATTGGATCAAGTTGTCATTATATAATACTCTTTATTAAACTGTTTATTAAATACACTTCAAAAAATGCACTCATAGCTAATACAAGGCACATGCCCTGGTGATTCTGTTACATTCAGACTGAATACTAACCAAAACAATAAATATTTACAGCTACACATCCTTGTTTGCATGCTTCTGAATCAAAATGGTCATGCTTATTTTTCACCAAAAAGAGAGTGTTGTTCTTGAGACACTTAGTAGAATCTCTCCCACCCTTTCTAAGTTTTAATTTATGACAAAAACTACCTTGTAAACAAGCCCAAAGGATTTAGTTATATGTATACTTTAAAAATCTGAACTTTGGACTTGCATAGAGAATAATGCATAAGCAGAATCAGACAAAAATGGTCGAACATGAACCAAGTTACTAATATTTGGAAGCTGCCTGCACAGCTAGAAAAGGAGAATGTCTCTGAAGATACTGAGTGATCAGGCATGTCAGCAGTCAATAATTAGCCTTAGAATTTGTTCCACCTTAAAGACTCAATGTTGCAAGGTGCTGAGTGCCCCCATTATTCTCTGAAGCCAAAACCATAGAACTGTTAGTAACTCAAATGCAATGTAATGTGATTAATGTAATTAAAAATTTAATAAAAGTATCCTTTAGACTTCAGAGTTCCTGCAGTAACATTAGCTTGTGACAAAGTTCATGGACTATACTGATTTGGAAAGCAATTTGCTGGGGTACTGCCTAGGTACTTACATGTGTAAATTAAATGCACAGGGGAAAAGAACTGTGATACTGCCTAGTCTACTTTTCAGATCCTAATATTGTGTTTAGGTTTTTGTATCTCACATAAATAATACTTGGCTTGCTGCAGATTCAGCTCCACCACTGACTACTCCAGCTTTAGCAGTACAATACTTCACGCAGCACGAAGTAATCAAAAGGCCCTGGAGGGCTTGGGTAAGCCAAGAGCTCACCTCAGTGTGTGATCACAGATTCTTTTGGGAGCATTTTCTCATCCCATATTTTCTCACTTTCAACTAACAATGACTCAGCCCTCATCTTGCTCAATGAGCTACTTTCCAACTCTTTACCCATCATATCCTTTCCACTACCTGAAGCCACTGCAAGAAATCACTTGTCACTGAAAAGCACCATTGAGCACCGGGTCTCTGGACAGGAAGAGTTACAGGGAAACAATGTTTGTGGTAATGAAATGGGTAGCATGAAAAAGGGAAAATTAACAGGGTCAGAAACTACAAAGTAAATTTCACATGGCTAGGAAAGGCGAAATACTGCAGGACTTACTTGAACCAACTCTTCAGATCCAAAACATCTGGAAAGATTTAATTTTGAGGATACTCTGAAGAGTGAAGTTCTGGGTAGTCTCCACACATGTGGAGAGATGTTTAAGTCTGGAGTTTGTATCTACTGCCAGCTAACAAGAACCAATAATAAACAGCAAGAGTTACACTTACTCTCCTTTGGCACAAAGGGGATGCGCTTGCTTTTGACTTTCACCGGTGATGGCTCAACTTGGCATTTTCCTGGTGGTGCTGTCCTTGAAAGACAGGGACACATACAGTGCACAATTAATTCCTTTCCTCTGGCATTGCAACACTTTGCTTCCCATTGTTTTTCTAAGAATATTATTCTTATTGGGAAAAAAATAAAAGTCTGTTTATATGATGCAACTAATCTCTTACAGTAGAAAACATAACTAAAGAATCACAGATCACAATTGATGAAAGTCCAAATATTCACAAGGCAGTGGAGTCCTCTCTCTGTTTTCAGTTGCCACTATTGAAGCCATTAAGGAAATAAAACATTGGCAGGTTCAAGCACTACAGAAAGAGATTAATCAAACTGAAAATAAAAATTACAAAACTAGACAGTATATGTTGAACATCTGACACAAAGGTCATGTGTATGCAAGATTTCAGACTGTTTTCACGGAAGCAAAATAACACACTATTATTCACACAGAAAGCCCAAATAAATGTCATGCCAAAAATGCATTAGTTTCAGAAAAGAACTCTAAGTGTCTCCTCCAGAGGCTTTTTCTTAGTATGGTGCTTTATTTTGACACAATTTGTTTGCCACAGAGACGTAGCTCACTTCTGGGAAGTCATATCCAGTTCATCACCACTTTCTCCTATGGCAGCTGTCTTGGTAATCCTCAGACTTCTTCAGGGGTTTCCAAATTGGTTCAAAAATGCATGATGCTTGCATTCGGAAGGTATAACTCCTGTGCAATTAGGCTTGTTTGCATTTGCATTTCTGTGGAAGGCAGAGAGCTTCTCTCTCGACTGTCTACACAAGGATGTTCCTGACTTTTATGAATTTTCCAATTACTTGTTTTGGCATTCTGAACATGAACAAACCCTTTTTTTAAACTTAAACTTACAGCTTGTGTTTGACTCCTGCTTTCTTTATTTTTGCAAAGGTTGCGTAATACCAGCTTCTTAATACATAGTTTACAGGAACTCTTCTGTTGCATTAGATAATGGAAAATGCTCCCGACAGAGGAGAGTTGGGGGAAACACATGACAGATCTAGGGGCTTTTTAACTTTGGGGACTGGCTTCAACATAAAACTAGACAAGTGGTTCAGTTCAAAATTCTCAGATAGCTAAAGCTGTAAATTTAATCCATAAAAAAAAGAAAAGCTACAAAAATCTCACTCTCCATTTCTGGCTGAAAGTAGCTTGGTGTTTAGCCAATAATAGTAACACTTTAAAAACAGGAAGATGGAAAAAACAGCTGTAAGTCTTCCCATAAAACACAGCTATTCCCTGCCTTGCCCAGTCTCAGATACAGGCACATGGAATACAGGAGGTGTAAAGATGGTCCTGTTTTCTTGTCCAATCCATATTGCTCTTTGAAACACTAAGAAGAATGCACTTTTTGGTATTCATGTCTGGTTTGCCCAAGAAAGCACTGCAGGTCACACTGGTCCTGCTTTGGCTGCAGTGGCCTGGAGGCACAGGGCTCTTGTGGAAGATTAAAAAAGGGATGGAGATGAACACAGAACAAACACCTTGAGAAAAACTGTCTCCTTTTGGGCAGGAATCTAGAGAAACTTTGCCTAAGAAAGACAAGCCACACATAAAATACTCCTTTAGCATTCAGGAAATCTCCAAACTCACATAACACCAACAGGCCCCATAAAAATTTGGCACCAGGCAGTGTAGACCCCCATGACTGCAGGAGCAAAGCAGACCCACAGTGGGTTACTCCAGATGTTCCTTAACGGGAAGGAACTCAGGAGGGCTCAGCATGGGAGAAGAATTTATTAGTCAGCCAACATCACTGATCACAGCATTACACATCCCACCCACACCATCACATCCACTCCAGCACTCACTGCACCATCACCAGGCCTTGCAACAAGAACATCTCATACCTGGAGGTGTCTACCACTTTGTACACCACTCCATGGGGAGCTGTGGCACTTGGTACACCAGTAGAAAGGAAGTACAATTCCCCTGGTAAAAAAAAAAAGAAAAAAAAAAAAGCAGACACACCCATAAAAACTGTTCTATGGAGTTTCTGTCCTGTACAGCACAAAGGCATTAACTTGGTATCATGGTATCAGAGACCTCATCTGCAGTCCATTGACATAAAACACTCTTAGTGAGTGGCAGCTTTTACAAATTGTCATTTACAAATTTCCACTGCAGGTTCATCTGCCCAGACCTTCCTTGTTATCTCATTATGATCCATGTCCTTTGACTTCTCTAATGTAAAACAGTCAAATCCTGAATTACTTTTGTTAAAATGAAAAGAGAGGAAATTAAGAAAGTTCACTGTCTTCTGTTCATTTGGATGAAGTATTCCTTTGGTGTGAATTACAGGAGAACAAGATTTTGCTTTTGCTTTCTCTAGCACACTCACAGAGTGAGACATATCTCACACAAAAGGCATTTGATTCATCACAACTCTGTCAGGTCACATGTGCATGGCTTGACCTTCAACCAAACAATGTCCATCACCATTTATTTGACTTATTTTCTCTTAACTGCATCTCTATCCTTCTTCTCCTGTTGTGCAGGGGAGATTGGAATAAACAGTATCTCTGGCTCTCTTTTGAGAGCTCAAGTGCTTCAGTAGTGCAACAAAAAGGATCAGAGAGAAAAAATATATTTGCAGTATTTAAAAAAAAAAAGAGAGAGAAAATAGAAAAACAGGCAATAGAGACTTGCTTAGTGAATAAGACAGATTTTCTTGGGTGTTCTGTGGGTAATCCAGGTGGAAGAACAGAGGTCAGTATGAGCAAACGATTGTGTAGACAGTTGGTGGCAGCTGAGGCTGAGCCTCCATCCTCCTACGTGCTCTCCTGTGTTGCCTTGGGCTGAGTTCCTCCAGATAATACCAGGGCAGAAACCTTTGGCTATCCCTGGCTGGTTTCCTCCTTTTTCTGGTGAGCTTCGTTAATGACAGGCTGGAGGCAGCCTTGGCCCAAATGAGGATGGGAAACACCTGACACTGAGTTTTGTGATGATGTGTGTTTTCCATCCTGCCCCTCTTCCCTGGAAGTTAACTGGCAGGAGTTTGGATGCTCAAGCCATGAAGCACACAGGCTACACATGTCACCTACAGACACAGTGCCCAGGGTGTCTCTGTCATGTTCTGCTGGCCAGGGATGGGGCTGGGGGCTTTATAATGGCTGTGCAATGAGCCAAAAATAGAAATCTCCCCATGACATTTACACACACCCACTGCATCAGGTAGATTAACATTCATCAGAGCAACAGCCCCAAAACTTAAATGCTTCTGTGAAGAAAACCCTGTTAAAATAAACTCTGTGGCAAACTTGTAAAAAATGAGATTTAAATTTAAAAAATGAGCACACTAAAAAGGTGCAAGAGAAGACTGGTCACAGCAGATAAAGCAACCTCACTACACTGTTATCAACAGATTTCTTTCCATTACTATAAAGCAAAAACAAGGCAATTAACTACCTCTGAAAAGAAACTCCAGCCCAAAAAGCACAGCATAGGGCAAAAAGGTGGCAGCATTTAACCCCTGCTTTGTGCAGACTCTGTTGACAAGCACAGGATGAAGGAGATCATCCTCATATGCATGAGCAAGGACTGCAGTCAACAGCTTGATATTGCACTTGGCATAAAGCTGATTTGAACTAAGTTATTTGATTATAGGGTAAGATATCCTTCTCACTACAGCACTGTGAAATAGCTCTAAATTCCATGAATATTAACCATTAAAGAAAATGGAATTTAACTCTAAAAAAAGAGTCAAATTTTCAAGCTATTACTTAACTTGGACGATTTGCATTCACATGATTAAATTTGCATTTATATGATTTGAGCAACATCCAAACTTGACATAATCTGCAGGAAAAAACAGATGTTTAAAAGCTGAGGCATTCTGGAAGCAGGTGCTTGTGATCATGAGCCAAGACCTCCCAGGAACAGGACAGAGCACAGTCCTGCATTGCTGAGTTGCACATAAAGCACACATCACAGGGCTCATCCTCTGACAGCCATGGGCTGCATGGGCTGCACATTCTGCAGCACTCTTGTACCAACAACAGGAGACACCACCAGCTTTCACCCCAGGACTCTCTATTTCCTCCTCTTCAAATCCAGCAGCTCCCTTCTAGAAAGCAAAATGTCTCCAGTCATGAAAACACAGCAAAGCTCCAGAGACTGTATCCTTCAGTCCTACACAAGGCAAAATCTCAACTGGCACTTATAAAAGATGGACTTAAGATTCTTTTGCTGATGCCTCATTCAAGATATAACATAAGCTTTCGTTCTGCTTCACCTGTAGAGGTACAAGTACCCCAGCCCAGGGTGAGCAGATATATAATTGCTGTTCATGACATCTGCTTCCCTGTATCCATTAATAATGCCTGCAGCCTTCTTGACTAGACAAGAACACAGACTTGCTCTCCCTTGGGTATCAGCTCCTCAGGCTCCCAGGGCTTGCATTCCCCACAGCATGGCACTCTGAAGAATCAGGTTTCTTCTCTAAGGTTTGTTTTCCTCTACTTGCCCCCTCTGCTTCCTGTTTTCCAGAAGGAATGTGTGTGGGCAGCAGCACGTCCAGCACAGCAGACTCAGTCCCAAGGCAACTGACTCTCCAACTCCCACTGCAGGCAGTGCATGGCACACAGACCTCAAAATTAGCATTGTAACTTTGGTTTGATATTTGGGGGATGCTGGGAATCTGGCATTTTAAAAACTTGTGCTATGCCTCCCCACTACCCACTGCCTACCAGGATTCCTCTCTGATCCCTTCTCTGGTGTTTTATTCTGAAGAGAAACCAGAAACACACCTTTCAGTGTGATATAAAGTTACAAGATTACCTGCTTCATCTTCAGCAAAGGAGATGATGTATTGATAATAGTTATTGATAAGCCCGGGGAACATGCACGTTTGTCCTGTCCCCATGCAGATTTCACTGTACTGCCACTGTCCAGTAGCATGATCCTCCTTCAAAGACATCAGGCGTCTGCAAGGCAAAAGAACAACTTCTACAACCTGACCCAGATGATCTATGAATATTAGCATGGACGCCTGAAAGGATATTTAATGCTTCCTATTCACACTAGCTGCAGTAGGAACTGCAGCTTCTCTGAAGAGTGAAAGACTGTTAATATTGACCCAAATGTATTACACACCCTGTAACCCCTTGTCTTTCAAGGACAACACAAGCACACGGAAAAACAAGAGGGGAGGGTTGAAGGGCTATCAGGTTATTTTGAGGGAGGGATTTTGTCTGGGGGTACAACTTCCTAAGGTGAGTGCCCTAAGCGTTTACTTACCCACTCATAAAATCACCAAATATGTACAGGCCATTCAGGTTTGGAGACTCACAACCTCGATAGACGTAGCCTCCTGTAACAGATTTCCCCATTTTGTGTGGGTAAGCGTAAATCGGAAGCACATCGTCTGTAGGGCAGAAAAGATCTGTGACTTGTTTTGCACATGCTGCAGAATAGCTCTTTATCTAGATTGTTCTGAGTCTGGCAGAGTACAATCAAGTTCCCTGGTGCATCTTCTATTTAAATTAATTGCCAGTGGAGCTGGATATAGTTTGATTTTCACCGTTTCAGAATCACATTTGATCGCCCTGCCCCTCACCAAGAAACCTCAGCACTCTCCTGATCCCTTCTCCTCCCACTACAATCCATCTCTGTTAGCGCCACTTCTGGCACATTTCTACAGACCTTGTCTGGTTTAGCTACAAATTCACAGGTTACTCCTAGAGTCACTGCACCCATGTGGGAAATGTTTGCCCAATGAAGCTTTGTTTAGGTGGTAAAAGGAAAAAAAGAAATGGGTGACTCCAGACTGTAGGCACTGATGAAAAGATATGTCAGATGTCAGCACAAATAGCTTCTGTTCCTCTGAGATGGAGAAGCAACTCGAAAGGGCCATCAAATATTTATGGGATGGCACAGGCATGAATGATGTAGTACTGGCATATTCATTGTGAAATATAAGTTAAATTATAAAACAAATGTAAAACGGAGAGAGATGTCCTGATTTTGGGGGTCTCCATTAGGTGCTTCCTCCCCTTTCTTTTGGGACTCCTGGTACTCTTTCCTCCTCATCCTCACAGCCTTTCTCCCTGCCCACGTAGCAGATGTTGCAAACCCAGCAGCTCTGCCAGCAAGGAATTTGCACCAGGGGAATTTTGTCTAAAGCAGGTATTTTCTACACTTCAGCTGTACTTATTCTAAAGGGGCTGTGACATTTCACTGTTCTAACAAAGGGTCTCTAAAGTCATCAAAAATTGCTCTGAATCCCTGGAGACCTCAGTAAAGTGTCTGCCATGAATGCTCATGTGGAGCATTCTGTCACACAGGAGAGCAATAAATGAACTTGAACAACTGCTTCAGCACAGGGAGTGCAAAAATCTGCTCCTTGCTCTTGACATTTTTATAAAAAATACTTAATCACTCTCATACTCATAGTGAAGTTAATAAAAGGAAAGAATTTACACTGAGTTAATATTAGGAAAATATTAAACACACAGCACATAGAAAAGAATCAGAATCTCAGCTAATGCAAATCAGTGCCAGCCCAATCCACTGCCCCTCTGAATCTCTGAGAAGAGGCTCTAGCACAAGATATGGTCCACATAAGCCCTTGCAATTCAATATGTTCTGACTTCACATGTTCACTGGAATTTAGCCAGCCAGCAAACATCCTCAATCCAGTTTTGAATAGTTTAAAGAAATGAAAATTAAATGAGGTTTTCCTTTGTGGCATAGCTAAAAGAAGCAAAAATACACCATACATTCAGTTACCTGCAAAGCATGCAACATGCATAATGGTTGATCAGTCAATGTTTTTCTCTCTTTTTCTAAAATAAGGACACTACTTGTGAGTTATGGAGAAAAATACAATTCCTCCAAATTTTTCTTGCTCCTGCACAAAAGCTTATTTTATATGGCAAAGATGAAATTGTCCCTCTAAACCACAGAATCACTAAGTAATTTCACTAACAACATCAATCACCTAGAAAAACAACAGCTAGCACGTTTCACTTTCCTCCTAACTCAGAAACGGTAACATTTGTACTTTCAGTATGTATGCGTGAGCCAGTTCCCTTCTAGACAGAGACAGCAGAGGTTTACATCTCAAAAAGGTGTGTTTACCACCAAGCAGCCAGGCTTTGAAGGCAGGAATTAAAAATGACAGCACATCTACTTACCCAAGGAAGAATTGGTGCAAAGTTTTTTATCGTAACAGCTGAACCCTTCCCTCGCCCTCCAGCCGTAATTTTTCCCTTTCTCGACGATGTCGACTTCTTCGTATTTATTCTGCCCCACATCTCCACAGAAGAGCCGCCCCTTGCCTTCCTTGGTGCGGGGGTCCCCCCTGTCGAAGGAGCAGCGCCACATGTTCCTCACTCCGTAGGCGTAGACCTCGGGGCGAGCCGTGGGGTCGCTCACAAAGGGGTTGTCAGGAGGGATTCGGTACAGGGGCCCCCTGTCGTTGTTGTTCACGTCGATCCGCAGCACTTTGCCCAGCAGGGCTGACCTGAATTGGGAGAAGAAATGAAAAAAATATAAAAATAAGACGGCACTTTGGCAAAAAATCAGAGAGGGAGGCGATTTGGGAAGCCTAGGGTTTCATTCTTTCTGTTTTAGAAAAGACAAGTCTTTGAATATCTGTGAAAAAAGAACCATTTCAAGGTAATTGCATTTGCCCCCAAATAGCCTTCACGTGGCTGGCATTGATTTCCCACACCCTGAGCTGCCCTAGGGGTGGATCCACTCTTACTTGTTCTGGGCATTTCCAAACGTGCCAAAAGGATCCCCAGCCATGCCTCCGTCTCCAGTGAAGATATAGAGATACCCATCATCTCCAAAGAGCAGCTCTCCTCCATTGTGGTTGGAAGCAGGTTCTTCTATTTCAAGAATTATCCTGAGTGAAAATAGGGAAGAAGCAATAACCTACTGCACAAGCACTATGCAAAGGGTAGAGCAATGTCACGACAATGAGCTCTTGACAGATGGAAGCAGCTACAGATTGGTTTTGATACAAATTCCTCTATATCCATGTTACTGAATTTTTCTTGGGCACAGCTGATTTTCTAACCTTAAATGGTTTCAACATATTTTCCAGATTACAGAAACACCAAATTGTGTAATATGGAAAGTCTGAGAAATCACATGACAAAATATACTTTTAATTACTTAAACTTTTCCTCTGATTCTGTCTTCTTCCTTGTTAAACTTCTTTTTTTATTTTTCTATAATTTATTAAAGAAAATGCATCTGAGCTTATAACCAATTGGAAATTGTAAAAGAAAGGACTTCAGTCAATCTGTGCATCTGTACTGCTTTTGGCACAATCCTCCCAGGCGCTTCCAAGGCGAATATAAAACTTTTCAAACATGAAGAAATAGTTAAATTCTTAAAGAGAGAAGAATCCCTAAATGATAATTACACACTCAGGACCTTATGAGTTTAAAGAATAGTTAAAAGCAGCCCCACTAACAAACTGAATTTATTAAAGGTTATTCAAAGCAGTACCAACAAAATTTACCTTAATTTTAACCCCAAACTCTCTATTTTATTTGTTTATTTTATGCACCTGAAATCCCTTCCATAGAGCAAACGGGGAAAATACACAAATTATAATTTTATAGAATGGTAAAGCCACAAATATATGCAGTGGACGTTCCTAGGTATAACAACTGAAGTTTATTATTTCCAGCTTCAAAAAAAGTCCAGATTTCATGCTGGCAGTGAGTCTTAATAGTTATGAAAGTAAATTATATCATTTACTGACACCACCTCATTTTTAGACAGTTTTTTTCCCCTTCTGAAATGTTGATAGTTATTGTGAGCTGTGGGAAGGAACCCAGCTATGGAGTTATTGTCACCCCCTGCTAAATGTCAGCACCTCTGTGTTAAGGTAAGCATGCAAGAATGCACAGGTTCCAGCTGACAGAAGGAGTGAGGGAGCATCCTGTATGGACACAAAGATTAATCTTCCTCAGCCTCCCAAAGAAGATGGAAAAAACCAAAATGCATTGAGGAACATCTGAGGATAAGCAGACACACACATTTGTGCCGAGGCAGTGCACACCACACGTCAGCCTGAGCTCCCTCTTGGGCAGCAGCTCAGGATGAAGTCAGTGGGACCTGTGCCTACACAAGCACAATAGGACCACAATTTTGTTTTCTTACGCTTTAGCCGTACTAACCATAAGCTAAGTAAGCACAGAAATTGTTACAAACATAGAGCCTGAGGATTCTTAAACAAGACAGCTCATGGGCTGTCAATGTCTGCAGGTTTCTGATTTGCTTTCCTGAGTGCCAAGTTGTAAATCCTCTTACCTGTCATCTACAGTGCTGTTTACACTGGATTGCTGCAATTGCTTTATAAACCAGTATCTCCTCTCTATTATTAGGTTATGTGCATTTTTGAGCTAGAATCATCCACAGCTGGGTGTTTGGAAAGCCTCTAATAAATTCCAAATAACGAAGTAAAAATCTTAGCATTAGTAGTATTCAAGAGTCTCTTAAAACAGTGGTTCTATAACACAGTTCTGCAACAGGTTCTAAATCTACAAGCTCGACTCCACAAACAAGTCTCTCATCACCTGTGTGGAACAACTACAAGACCAGACTCAAACAAATGAAATTTCCAAATACAATGCACTCAGTAATAATACAGTGACTTGTGTTTTACTTAATTTGATATTAAATTTGTAATAGCAAAGAGTTGAGTTGTGGTTCCGATAAAGAAATACGGGAACAAATCCATCTTTGCTCTGGTATCAGTTTGCTTATACTAATTTTGGAAACTTTTGGCTTTGGAATGAATTTCACTCATGCTTTGCAGAAGTCTTTTAAAGGGTAATCACAAAAGTACAAAACAAACAAATAAACCTCCAAGCCCCACCCAACAATAACCTCAAAATACTAACTATAAATAATGTTTAATCCATGTTTAGTTAAATCCTCTGACATGCCAAAATTGAGAACTGTACATGTTTTATCCCTGAACACTCGCAGTTCATCCATGGAGGACACATTCTTCACCTCAATACTCTCGGCATGGACTTGGACTATCATGCTAGCACTCTGGAATGTAAAAACATTTGGCTAAATAAGTATCATTCATTAATAGTCCTTAAAAATGCACAAGTTGCCCTCTAAGATCTTAAATTCATTTGCCAGAGAAACTTGTGAACAATACCTTTCAGAACCATGGTCCAAGGCATTCATGTCAGCAGGAGAAATTCTGAACTCACTGATACGGATCCTCTCTTCATAACGAACTTCAACTGAATAGTAGACGTACACTTTACCATTAAATTTGAATTTAGGATGGAAGACAATACACAGAAACCCTCTCTCATCTCCTTCCCAAGGTGAGGTAAGCACAGCTTCGCTGATGTTCAGAAATGGCTTTTGGAGCCTGGATCCATCGGGGAGGTAGGTCCACACGAGGCCGACCTGCTCAGCGATGAAGAACCTGTGGGTGCCATCGTTGGCGTGCACCATGGCCACGGGATTGCGCAGCCCATTGGCCACCTCCACGAGGCAGAGCTGCAGACAGCCCTCTGCATCAGCAGTGACCAGCCCCAGGTTCTGGTTAAGGTTCTGGTTAGCCAGCAGGTGTGGGAAGCAGTAGTCGGTGTCCTCCAGGGACAGGTAGCGGCAGAACTTTGCCATGTTGTTTTCCAGTGCAATTAACTCTGGGTCTGCAGAGAGAGAGCGGAAAATGGAGCGGCAGTTCTGCCACACTTGCATGCAATAGTCTTGGCATAGTCCTGGTATCGTCCTCACGGGGGTGGAGGGATCTTCAGCATCATACAAGTGAGCTGCATATGGAGAGCATTCCTAGAGGGAGGGAGGAAAAGCTTCAAGTCATTTCTTGGACCAGATTTGAAACAGCTGAGCAGCGATACTAATTGGAGATCTTTCATCTTAATTACAAGATATGTTGTAGTTTATTCTAAGATATATTAACAGAGGGAAAGATCTTAGAAAGGGTTTTTTTCTCAGCACTCATGGAAGTTATCTTCAATATTCCTGGTGAAAGCTGACTTCCTCAAGCTGTTACTCATTTATTCTAACCACAGAACTTTTTTTTAAAAACTGCAATGATGCTTGTGTTGCTACATCACCCTCGTAGACTGCACTGGGGAAAAAGAGACTTTTCTTCCTTGGATGCTCTGACTTTAACTATAAAATAATAAGATCCATCACAGAACAGAAGTGAAACCAAAGAGTCAGCTGAGAAGATTCAGGCCCTGCATCTCCATACTGATGATAGAATGGGAAAGGCCATCAGAGCCAAAGCCTTGGACATTTCATACCTCATAATCTGATAATCCAGGCATGCACCTCAAACATCATGTGATTTACAGCTTGGAAGGAGTGGGATGTGAAAGTGGAGGAGGAGGGGAGGACACCATCCTTGATTGGGTCTAGCTACCTTTGGTGGTGGGCCTTTGCTTACAGATAATTTATACCCCCAGCCAGGAGTGATGAAAGGCATCTCATGATCATGACATGGGTCACCAAGTTCTGTGAGGGATGCTGAGGTTACAGGATTTTAGACAGTGAGCACAAAATGGCCATAATCCAGGACAGGTCCACTGGCAGCAGCTGCAGCTCAGCCCTTGTTTATGGAAGGTGTAGCCTTGGAAATCTACTTAAGGACTGGGTCAAGTTCACACAGCTCATTGTAATCTCCATTATGACAACCCTACAGACACATTTTCCTTATGAGAAAGCTGCAATCCAGTAAAACCGTCTGTAAATTACAAACTGACCAAAGTGATTCAGTTCTGTTTTGCAAGGGTTTTTGCTTGTAATAAACACAATATTTTCCAGTTATAATGCATCTTCCCAAAAAGTACTTCAAAAGTGCTCTTCAAATAATGCAACATGACTCTGTGGAGGTTCAATTATTTTCAAAGTTATATTTCAATGAATACCTGAGGCAACAAAGGTCAGAAGAGAAACTACTACTTAAATAAACTCTGTATTTTTAAATTACTATCTGGCATTGTTTCTTCTTTTACTAAGCAAAACCAGCTTAATTTAAAAAAAAAAGAGAGAGCTGTTTCTAGATCTATAGGGAGATATTTCTTAGTGCAGATTACAACACTATTCAATAGCTGAAAACATATAGCATCTGAGATTCCGAACTGTTTAAATTAGCTGATAAACATACACAATATTTAATTTTTATTTTATTTTCTATTACACACCATAATAAACTGAGAGGCCATATAACAGATCATTAGTGTACAATAAGCTTTCCTCCTGGAATGTCAAGCCATTCATTGCAAAATGAAGGTTATTATGCTTTCAAATGAGCAGCAATTAATGTGGTAAAAAGAAGATTGCTTGTGACACAAAACACTGAAATTACACAGGCAGATTGGGTAACACACTCGGCTTGGTTACACGAGGTGTGCCAGGGACAGAAAGAGACAGAGCATTTGTCAATTCACGTGTAATGACTGAAAAATTGGTCTTAGAAAACAAATTGAAATGAGACATAAAGGGAATTTGATGGGAGGGCTGGATGGGAGCTCAATCTGTTCTTGCCTATGGAGGTTTCCCATTCAGAAAGAGGAGGCCCCTCACTTGAGTACTCAGGTGCACCTCATCCTCTGAAACCTCTTTCAAAGCAAGCAGTGATCTTATGCATTATAAAGCAGTGCCCTGGTTCAGCATCAGAATTAAAAATAGCCCAGAGACATGGATTCCCTGTCTCTGCCATTCAGGATGATCACCACAGTCTCAGGTGTGTCTGAATAGAAGCTGTGGGCAAGTTCTTCCCTCCTTACAACATTCCTGGTGGCATACAGCTAATTACAGCATCATTTCACTGGCAGTGATATTCAGAGATCTATCACTAGTCTGAAAGTACCTAAGCATGTCCTAGGGTATTTTCAAGACGTGAAATATTTTCCAAATTTTATTCTGGAAGAGATGGAGCCTCATGCCCTATGCTGAATTTCTCTGCTTCTGAAGCAAATGTTGCCTTCATATTCTCCTGTCATGTTCACATAACTCAAAATACCAAGAAACTCTACCCTTAGTCAGAGCTCAGGATCAATATTAGATCTAAATTGTCATTTCCAAATGATGATGTCTGTTCATTAATTTTAAACTATGTTGTGGTCCAAAGACCGAGGAAACTAATGGGCAGATGATCAGTAACTTCAGTAGGGTTGGAACAAGTTTGTACTATGAAAACAATTCATCAGAAAACAAAACAAGACACATTAAGACAAGCTAGCCAAATGCATCCTGTCTGTTCCAGGAATTCAGTGGCAGCTCCTTATCTAGGGGATTCCAACAGTCTGAATCTAACAGAACACCCACAGCAGACAATGTCTTATTTACTGCTGCTATCAGCCTGGAGGAAACAACAGGACTCCTCGGAAAAGCATTTAACTTCCACATTATCCCCGACCTTCCTTGACCACCTCCATCTAGAAACTCAAGCCTTTAAGCAAGCTGTTCCCCAAGAAGCAGAGTGAGGCATCTGCTCTTGCAGTTCGGTGGAGAAGGCTCCAAGGTAACCTTATGGCACCTTTCACAGGAGAACTGAAGAGGGACGTTTTACAAGGCAGTGTGGTGACAGGACAAGAGGTAATGGCTTTAAACTGAAGGAGGATCAATATAGATTAGATTTAAGAAATAAGTTGTTTATAATGAGAGTGGTGAACTACTATAACAGGTTGCCAAAAGAGGTGATAGATGCCCCATCCCTGGAAACATTCAAGGACAGGTTGAGCAACCTGATTTAGTTGAAGCTGTCCCTGTTCATTGCAGAGGAGGTTGGACTAGTCCTTTCCAAATCAAACTATTCTATTATTCTATGAATTCAAGAAAAGGCAGGAATCCGTAAGTACAAACTGAGACATTTGTCAAAATAATTTGATCACATTTGAGAGAAATCATTAATTGTGAACAGGAAGAGACAGAAGCATGCTGACTTAAGTCACAGTAACACACTTACTAATTCAGGTCTAGGATATAAATTGTTTATACAATGAATGGAGGCAAAATGTTCTAGACTGTTTGCAATGACTGAACTTCCATGACATGCTTGTGCAGCCAGAGGCAGTGGTTTGTAGCCACATCTGGGCTGGTGATGTACTGAGCTCACCAGAACATTTCAGTGAATCATTGCTTCCACATTGAAATATTCCTCTGCTTCTGAAGACATTTTCAGTGGTTGGCTTTCTGACAAACACAGGAGATGTAGTTAACACTTCCAGAAGCAGGAGAGGACTCTTAAGACACTGCTTGTTTCAGAAATATATTCAAATGTTTTTTTGCTTCCAGTATGATGTGAGATGAAATAGAAGTAAATTCTCTAGAACCTGGTGTGGAAAAGTGTTGCCTTTTTCTTCATGCCTTAAAGAACCCAAGAGGTACCAGTAAAATGCTAAGAGCAGGATTTCTGATAGGCCATTTTGATCCCATCCTGACCACAGCAGACAAGACTCCGCTGTGTGAATTAATTTAAGGTTTACACTTGCACTTACACGTGCTGAGCTGCTACTGCTCTGTCTCAGGGGCATTTTCATACATGTGAGGCCTCCACTGATGGTAGAGTCAGACACTTGGCTCTGTGCAGACTGTGATCATCCCATTATCATATCTGGCCCCAGAACATCAGCTCTGAGTGAAAACTCCCCCCTGTGCAGGATGGCCATCACAGAGGTTCCTAGGCCACATCCTCAGGCATTACTCTGCACCTGTCACCAGGACTATTAGCACCTGGCACATGCTAAAAGTGCTGTAATCCAACACAAAGAAAATACCTGACCCCATCAATTGGTCATAACAAGGAGCAAGATTTGTGCAACCACGTGCACTGTGGGTTTCTTCACCAGGTGTGGTGCCCTAACCCTGGGAGGATGAGGAGAGTCTGAAAACTGTAACTGCCCACATACTTATCTCAGAGTCTGCTGCTCCTAAACTAAAGAACAGCAACATCCCTGTTCCTCTTTTAGACAACTGCTAAAGGACAAAAATCTGCTGGGATACTTGATGCTGGGCAGTCACTCCTTCCAGTGCCTGGGAACACATGCCTACGCTGCTGTGCTATCCCTGATGCACAGGATGCCCTGTGTGGGTTGATGTACTCATGCCTGTGCCCAGGTGCTGATGCCATGGCTGATGCACCTGTGGGTGGGTACTCCAGTCTGGCCTTGGGAATTAGCGACCTGGCTGGCACTTTCCTGGACTGTCCAAAGTCCTTGTACCAGTGCACAGGATCAACGCACCCATGGGATCAGTGCACCCATGTCTGGGCCAAAGCATCCATACCCGGGCTCGATGCAGCCCTGCTTGAGTAGATGCACACAGACCTGGGCCAAAGCACTGCGATGGGGCAGAAGCATCCCTGCCTACACCAGAGCTCCGGGCAGGGGCTGCTGATGTCCCCTGCGCATTGGAAAGCCTCTGTGTAGCTGAACCCTGCGCGGGGGGATCCCCCCAGCGCAGCAGGAGCTCCGGGAGCGCCGGAGGTCTCACCTGGCAGAGCAGGTCCTGCAGGTGCCCGGCGCAGGCGGCGTAGGTGCGCTCGTCCAGGCTGGCGCTGAGGTGGTAGAAGCGCTGGAGCAGGGCGCGGTCGCGGCGCGGGTCGCAGCAGCCGAAGTCGGAGTAGCGGCGGCAGAAGGCGAGGCCCCGCGGCGGCCGGAACGGCGGCTTGAAGTCCAGGCACTGCGGGTGCGGCCGCGCCGGCCGCGGGGCGATCGCCGCCGCCAGCAGCAGCGCCAGGGCCGCCCGCGGGCCCCGCATGGCTCTGCCGGGGCACGGCCGGAGAGGTGGGCGCTGCCCCCGCCCAGCTGCGCCCCGGCCCCGGCTCGGCCGGCCCCGCTCCGCCCGCCGCACCGGGAACGCGGGCAGCGGCCGCCCCGAGGGCTGCCCCGCTCGCAGGGGCCGGCGCCGCTCGCCGCGCGTGTCCCTGGTGGCTTTGGACAGGCGATTTTATCCTGATTCCGCCCAGAGCGCAGCCGGGCAGGTACTGGCTGGACGGTGACGGAGGGTGTCACACAGCTCCGGAGTGGATCGGACTGGGAAATAATTCCTTAGACCGGCTCCTCCGGTGATGTCTGCTGGACTCGGTTCTGTCGCTGAGGCACTCGACAGAATAAGAATACTCGGAGTTTACGCAGCTGATGGACATGTTTAATAGCAAGAAAACCCAACTTCAGTACAGCTAGTGCTTCTGCATCCTTTGTCAATCTCATACTGGGCTGAGTGATTAGATTTAACTTTGAGGCTGGAAAGAAGTGGTCTGGTGTAGTCATTACACCATGTGGCCCCAGGCAGCCTAGGTGACATACTTTGCTCTGTGAAGCACTCAGAATGGTGCTCCCGTTAAAATAGGACCGCTGAGGGTACTTTCCTTTACCCTACAGCTCCTCAAGGCACACCCCAGGAAAATAGTTACTACACATACACATACGCATACACATACACATACACATACACATACACATACACATACACATACACATGATATCATATGTGGTGTTATCAGCTAGAAAGATCTAGTCCCATGCAGATGGCACTTTTTTTTCTGTTAACACAGCTAGTCAGAGTGTATTGTGTATTTCAATATTAACACACTGACTGTCCCTCCAAGACAAAGAATGGAATTCATGCTGATACTATTTCTAACTCCTACTTTGAGACCAAAGAACTACTGTACAGTGCATGTAGACTATAAAATCACTGCGTGGCTTGGAACATCCTGTCAGGAGGCCATATGTGTTACACATTTAATACGAGTTTGTTTTCTCTCCATATGCTTATGTAACTGCTTATGGTCACTCAAAACTCTCCAAATGTGCAAGCAACCAGAATACCCGATGATCTCGCTTGAGAAGTCTCTGCCCTTTTATTTTTAGTCACTTAAAACCACTTTTTTCACAGACACCCTTCACAAGCGCTTCGGAAAGCACATGATCAAGTTACTGCCCCTGAAAAGTTTGCAAACTATGCAAAAACCGAGTATGCAGTTATGCAACTCCATATTGCATAAAAAACCTGATGTAAAGACATCTCCCTCTTCATCCCAGCTAATCTTCTATTCCTGTGGTTAACACTGGCTGTTGTTTCAGTGTTTATAATGATTATTAGACAGCATTAATTAACACAAACAATGCTTAATATATAAAGAATGGATTGCAGTAACCAAACATATTCTGGATAATGAGATTTATCCTATAGCCTCTTGATTTGCTATTGGAGTTCTTGATTAGTTTGGCATCCATTAAACGCTTCAGAAAGGAAAGGAAAATTAAATGCTGTGCATGTTTAGTAGTGAGTTGTAGAACAAGAACTAGAGACTGTGAAACAGCACTAAGTGCCTTTTGGAAGTGCTCTGTGTGCACTTACAATACCCACCCCCCCTCCATCCCCTATGCCAGAGCTACTGCTGTTTTGCTCTTTCAGACAGGGCAATTTTTTGGTTACCCCTCTGGCTGGGGACTGCACAGCAATACATAGGCAAGGCACTGCTGAAGCAGAGACAGGAGCTTAATGAGCCTTGGCTCATTTAAAAAGATCATTCAAATAAAGACGGCTTATTTTACAGCTTGTCGTGAGCTGAGTTTTGAGGCTTCCCAGGCCACAGGTAGGAGCTCATGGGCTGCATTTGAGGGATCTGTGATGTGGTGGATAGAGCACACAGCTCTGGCTTTTCTTCCCAGCTCTGCCTGGAGACTTAACTTACTATTCCCAAGATACTGTGCTTCCGCCTGAATTCTCTCATTCATAAAATGAGGGCAGTCAATGCTCATCCACCCCATGGCAATCTCTCAAGGTGTAGTTTATTGATATTTTTAATCACCTTTTTTTCTTTTTTTATGAGTTCTCTGCTGAGTTGTCTCTAGAGACTCAGAAGGAGAACTGTTACCCTTGACCTGACATGCTAAATTTGAAGTTGCTCTTGTTCCTACCTAAGGGCAATAGCATGCATCTGTGTAGCAGTCACAGAATGGGGATGAAGTTTGATTTAAACAGTATTCTCCAAGATCACATGGTAATTTGAGAATTTGGTACTCAGAAGGTTTTGTATTAAAAATGACTCATTTTTAATTTGCTTAATTTGAACACTCATTCTTGTGGCTAATGGCCTGAATCAATCAATTGAATATTTTGTGCTGTATATCAGCTATTGGAAACAAGTCCTTTTTTTGTAGTTTATTTTTGGTGGCTTTTAAACTGGTATTTTTGGCAAGATATTGGATTGCTCCTATTCCCTCTGAAGTTCATTTAAGATCTTGACTTTAATTAATTCTCAAAATTAGAATTTTTATTGATGGATGAAATTGAAGAATCCAGGTGTGAAAATGCAGTTCAAAATGACTTCCTTATGTACCTCAAACTGAACTCCTCGAATGTACAACATCCAGATTTTTTCATTCTTTCTGCTTACATTAGAATTTGTTAGTGTTCATGGGACTGTGGACATGAATGAGTGAATGTGGGCACATTGATTAAAAATGTAAACAAATTGCATTTGATCAAATCACCAATATTAGACCCTGTGTCTGGAAGTCCATCAGCTTAATGCTCTGATCTTTAATAGCCAAAGGACACACTGCTCATACCCAAGTCAGCTGTGAATATCATCCCTAAAAAACTTAACAGTCAGGAATTAAATACAGGGCTATAGCTCTTCTCAAAGGAAATCAGGCTTTGCTTTCTCAAAGCTCATTTGATCACAAAACCTTCTGCTCCTCATTTATCTTCTCAGTGTTTTATTTTTCTTACTGGTGGAGATACTGAGGACAGATTATTATTATTATTATTATTATTATTATTATTATTATTATTATTATTATTATTATTATTATAAAATAAAGGAAAATGTGTGTGTTCCTGTACACACAAACCCACAATGCAAGTGAGGTAACCTGAACAGAACAGAACCCATGCTAGGCAGTCTGTGATCCGCTGGCATGGAGAATGCTCATTCACACAGCTCTTACTATTCTACACAAACAATTGAAAAATATATTAAACCTTAGGAAAGGTGAAAGAATAGTTTCATAGCACAGTCAAAAGCAAACGGGCATCTTCTATTCAAAATGATTTTCCAGGGAACACAAGCAGCTGAAGTCACACTGGCTGTGACAGGCCTACCAATACATTTTGATATTGAGGAAATGTTTAATGCAAGAAACCTGGGGAGCCAACCCAGAGCAGGCAGCATCGTGTGCTATATCGGGAATACTGTCAGAGGATTCGATAAGCGGAAATCCCGCTGCGTCCTGGCATGCTGGGGTGACTCAGATGTGGAATGAAACAAACTGCTGCAGCATCAAAGACCTAATTTCTCCTTCTAATGGAACCACGCGAGTCCATCGCATCCTTTAATCGTGCTGTGATGAAGCACCTTCAGCAGCAGCCCTTGGTGCACATTTCTGGGCTCTGTGGCACGTGTCATGGCAGATTTTTGTACAAAGCAGGGGGGTAACCCTGCAGAGGATGTAAATCAGCAGAGCTCAACCACAGTGTATAATATCTAGGATTCCCACACAGGTGACATATTGCTAAATGCTTTTCCTGTCCTTCTTATACTCATTTGATGCACAGGCAGGATGCAAACATCACAGTTTTACAGCACTGAGATAATTGCTTTTTTTGCTCTCAACTTGCAACCATAGAAATTCTAATGTCAGAGCCCTCAAGAGACCATATGGGCAGCAAACATTCCTTATGGGTTGCATGTGCAGAAAGAACATATTTTCTTATCAGTTCACACAAGAACAGATCATAAAGAAATGATTTTTAAAAATTACTACTATTTTCCCTGCGGTAACAGCAATAGAACAATAAGTAACAACCCTTGAATGGGTTCTCTGCGTTTTACAGTACATGGATCTTTTTTGCCTTTTTGGTCACAAGAGAAATAAAGACATTAAAATGTATGTTTCTTTTCAGAAAGCTTTGTATTGATTTTATGTAACATCTGAATACTTTGTGTTGTATCTTAACATATAACCATATAATTTGTCTGTAACACGAAATAGACCAAAAGACTTGCTCAGTGAATTGTACAAATGAGCCTTTCCTCATCAGTGATCCAAAGCATAATAAAATACCCTGCTTTTTCATTTCCCTCTGTGAGGTGAAAAAGCTCACTCACAGAAGCAAGTATATTCCACTGAAAGAAAAGACGATTAATCATAGCTTGAGCTCATACTCAAAAGGAAAAATCCCATTTGGATCCAGGCCTTTGTCCCAGGATCATTCAGTTCCATCTCTAGTTTGGAGAGAATAAGGTTTTTTTGATGAAGAACCACAAAAATGTTACTTTGTTGGAAGAAAGCTAGCAGCAGCCAATGCTGCTATTACACCACCCCTGTTGAAGGACAAAAAGCTAATAAACAGGTTGTTCAGATATTTTCTAATAGTTGAAAATACAAGTCATAGCCAATAAAAACCAGCTGAAACTTGAAAGATTCTTCCCCAAAGTAATCAGGTCATACAGCAAAGAATGGATGCTGGTCTAAACCCAGAGATACTACAAATTTAGTATTTTTGAAATCTTTCTGAGAAATGAGGTGCATAACACTGACAGCTCAACCAAGGCCTCAGACATGCATTTCATAAAAAACATACCTAGAGGCCAAAGAAATTTTCAGGAAGGACAAAATAGGAAAGAGGAAAAAAAGGAAGTTGCAAAAGTGCATGTGGATAGTCTAGTGGGCTCTTTTCTGGAGGAATAGGGATCATGGCTGTGCAGACTATGGATGCTGTAGGAGACCTGGAGAATCCTGGAC